GTGTTTTACTTTGGCAGCTGGGGTTCCTTACGTCTTTACCAGGACAATCTTTTGGCACTAGAAGGCCATTAATTTCTCTTAAAAGATTTAGATTGGAAACCATGGAGTCTTGTTATTGTGGGTCCAAAGCTGGCTGCCTTTTCACCATGGCGTCAACCTTTCAAAGAATTTGTCCGCTGCCAGAACTTGCAAAAGAAGCCAGAAACAATTCGAACAATCACAAATGAAAATGCTTCAAGTTGAATAAAATTGCACTCTTCTTCTTCTTTATGAACGCTCCAAAAACAGGACTGTTGCGTTTGCGCAAACGTACAAAAAAGCTACAAATTGGGACCAAAGCACCTGACATATTCTGCCCGTAGCCGCAAGATCATAAAGTTGACAATCTGCTGTTCATTTAGTAGACTGGGGTTTCGGTGCATGGATGAGGTGGGGAGCAAGTCACAACCAGTCAAATAGCTTTCCAACATTGAACAGCGAAATGTCAACCTTATGATCTGCCTGTCTTTCTGGCTCTTTGTTTGTCTCTGATTTTGCTTTTGTATGTTTTCACAATATTTGTGGTTCTATATATTTGTGAATCGTTTGACGCTTGACGCTGGCGGCTTCTAGAGACCAGAGGTTTTGGTTTACTTTGTTAGACTTGCAGCTGAGGCGTCGAGTTTCATGGATTTCTTTGTTCTGCTTCTTGCGCAATTTTTTCTCGGAGGCTACAGACATAGCGGGAGAGTGCTTCGCGCCCCCATTTTGCCGTTAGGCTGTTAGGCAAAAAATCCAAGTAAGTAGAAGTGGGTGAAACACAAAACGTTTAGAGTCTAGAGTTTGGTTTCTATGTCACGAAGCCTCTGTGTCACCAACAGAGGGCAATATTCAGCATTTTTGGAAACCGACAACTTTAAACTCGACTCTCCCACATCCTCAATGTGGTTCCCGCATCCTGAAGTGTGTGTTTCTCAACTTAGGATTTGCTCGGATGGACAACAATATGGTGCGAAGCACTCCCGCGCACTTTTTTTCACATTTTCCAAAACGCAGGTTTCAGCACTTTTTAAGGTTTTTAAGTTCATTTTTCAGCGTTTTAAGGTGTCGTTGGGTCGTTGTTCAGCTCTCTGCAGTGGTCTCAACCTGAATTTGCTCTCAGAGTTCTTTTCAAAGAAATTGTATCTTTTGAAAACTGATTGTTTTCTAAGACACTATAACATGTTATTTTTTCGTTTTGTTCGAAAAATATTTTGAAATTCCATTCTGACTGACAAGATCGCACGCGTGAATTTTAAAATTAGTAACCTTAAGACGAGTTTTGCCATCGAAAAACTTTGTTTTTCACGTTGGGCGTGGTGTTTTTGCATGGTGTTTTTGGACATGTTGATTTTTTGATTTTTGAGCCAGATTAGTTTGGTTGATTTAGTTGCATCAAAGTCAGTAAGCTTCTTTCGTTGAGAATATTCGTCAAGCAAGATAAAGTTGGATTTTGTCTTTTGTCGATCCATTTGAAAAAAGTTTGAGCGAGCAATTTTATGTGTCACAGTGTGCCTGGAATTGTAAACTCATCAATAATATATTCTCTTGTTCCTTGCGTCTTTTTTAAACTGATTTTTGTCAAAAGATGAAAAATGCATTTTCAAAAACAAACTCAAAAAAATCATTGATTTTTTCAATCTGTCGTCAATGCCTCGGATTGACTGTCTTGACGCACAAACCGTTGAAATATTTTAAAGAAGTTTTAGCGGGTTGTAATGTTGTGGTTGTTTGTTGTGGGTGTGATTGGGTTCTGGTGCGGTTGTGGTGTGGTTGCTGCGGCTTGTTGTGGTTGTTGTGGTTGTTGTGGTTGTCGTGGTTGTGGTTGTTGTTAGTGGTTGTCACGCGTCACCATTGGCAGTAGTTGTAGCCGTCGTGTTGTCCTCGCAGGAGTGGTCGTCCGCCAAAGTTGGAGTGGTAGTGGTGTCGTAGTGGTCATGGTTGGCAGCAACCGTCGCAGTAGTTGTAGAAGGGGGTGGTAGGAGGAGGAGGAGGAGGAGGAGGAGGAGGAGGAGTAGTAGTAGTAGTAGTCGTAGTCGTAGTCGTAGTCGTAGTCGTAGTCGTAGTCGTAGTCGTCGTAGTCGTAGTAGTCGTAGTAGTCGTAGTAGTCGTAGTAGTCGTAGTCGTAGTCGTAGTCGTAGTAGTAGTAGTAGTAGTAGTAGTAGTAGTAGTAGTAGTAGTAGTAGTAGTAGTAGTAGTAGTAGTAGTAGTAGTAGTAGTAGTAGTAGTAGGAGTAGTAGTAGGAGCAGTAGTAGCAGTAGCAGTAGCAGTAGCAGTAGGAGTAGTAGTAGTAGTAGTAGTAGTAGTAGTAGTAGTAGTAGTAGTAGTAGTAGTAGTAGTAGTAGTAGTAGTCGTCGTCGTCGTCGTCGTCGTAGTAGTAGTAGTGGCAGTGGCAGTAGCAGTAGCAGTAGCAGTAGCAGTAGCAGTAGCAGTAGCAGTAGCAGTAGCAGTAGCAGTAGCAGTAGCAGTAGTAGTTGTAGTTATAGTTGAAATATTTTTTTGAGTGCAAAACTGTTTTTGATTTGGTTTGCGTTGTTTTTGTGTTTTTTCCTGACCTCTTTTATGGCTCTTTGTTTGTCTCTGATTTTGCTTTTGTATGTTTTCTGAATATTTGTGGTTCTATAGTGTTGTGAATCGTTTGACCCTTGCGGCTTCTATATATTTGTGAATCGTTTGACGCTTGACGCTGGCGGCTTCTAAAGACCAGAGGTCTTGGTTTACTTTGTTATACTTGCAGCTGAGACGTCGAGTTTCATGGATTTTGCAACTGATGGATTCTGCAACTGCACGGTCTTTGTTCTGCTTCTTGCGCAATTTTTTCTCGGAGGCTACAGACATAGCGGGAGAGTGCTTCGCGCCCCCATTTTGCCGTTAGGCAAAAATCCAAGTTGTATGAAATGTTTCACGGCCTACGAGGTAGTTGCTGGCGTCTAGCATCCTGTCTAACTTAGAAGAGTCTTGTACAGTGCCGCCATGATATATCCCTAGATCCCTCCTTTTCGTAGCAGTTTCGGATTGATGATGCTGTTCCGGGAATGAGCTTTTCTTGTTGGCGGTTTTCTTCCGGAAAGCTTGCTTTTTTCATTGGTGCTGACACATAAAGGGGCTTACTGCAAAAACAATGTGGGTTTCTCTGGCCACGTCCTTGTGTGTGACCAATCGAGGAAAGGGAGGGAACGCGGGAGAGCACAATTGCAGCATTTTTGTATCTTGGGACTGAGGGAAGGGGAAACAACCTCAAATCTTGGGTGAGCCTGGATTTGTCAGGGACAACGATATTATATGAGGTTATAAATTAAAATTCCCAGTTTCCGGTACCTTTTGAGTTTCGGTTTTCCTGGCCACGAAGTGCCCCTGTGTATTTCACCAGGGAGGAAGGGGGAACGCGGGACGCGGGGAAATACAATTTTCAGCACTTTTGGGAACCGACCACCTCAAAACGCGCACTCCCTGCGTCCTCGGTGTGTGGTTCCTCGAGACTGAGGGTGATAAGGACCTGGGAAGCATTGAGATAGAGAAGCGGTTGCGGATTAAATCTGGATCCAGCAAGGTGGATAACGGATTGCATGTAACTTATGCATTGACTAGTCATGCAGTCAAGTCTTTACGCACGCCCTTGCCATTTGGATTACTGCTCTGCTGCTGAAGCCATTCCGTAAGGTCTTAAAAGACGCCTGTATGCCCCGAGAGTCTTGCGCACCCGTTCACTCCCTTTCCTCGCCGCTGTGCTTCTGGCCTGTCCTGCGTTGGCCCGCTACGCCTGTCTGCCCGCTGTGCCTTCTTCTGTTTTTGACTTTGTCTCGTGTCCTTTTTCAACGTAACATACTATACTAGTATAGTATTAGTATTGTACGAAATACTCTATTCGTTTTTCGCATTATATGGAGGCAAAAGTACTGGAGTTTGGCCATGGCATCTTCAACATTTCTACCGTGACCAAAGGTGCATGAGTTTTCGTTGCTAAGCGAACCCTTAAGGCTGTGGCTCGTACTTCGGACACTTAGTGTAGTCTTCGGACAGTTGCTTTCAAGCGTGCCGCACCAACTTGAGTGAGGATGTTGGGGTGGCTAACCCAAGTTGAAAGTGCAAAAGGAGGCCGTTTGGATGTAAAGATCATGATGTACTTGAGCAAGCAACTCGGCTGGTGCGAAGAGAGGTTGTTTTCGGGATTTGAAGGGCCGTTCATGCCTCGCATGCGCTATCGGATTCAAACCGGTAGCAGGTCGTGAAGACTGACTCTTGGGCAGTTGCAACGCGCGTTTGATAGCTCATTCTGACTCGCGTTCGAATTGCAGATTGTGCCTCAAGGACTGCGCAAAGAAGGCAGACTGGGACAGGAGCGCAGGCCTCAGAAGTGTGACATGCCGCGGTTTCAGGATCGTTGTGTGTTCGACAAAGGCTTCTGTTGTCAAGAGCTTTTGCTTGCACTGCTGTTGCAGCGAATATATAGGCCCAAACCCACGATGAATGTTCTGGGGGGTTATGCTTCTTTGTGCGTTGCTTGTGCAATCTCGGGTTGGACATTGTCCAGCGCCATTCGTGTGGATGGGAGACAATCAGGGGAAATTGACACTGCCAGACAATGCTTGCATGCGGCTGCACCGACCCTTGCCAGCAGTTGGCAGAATGCGGGCCGCTGGAAATTCATTCTTCAATGTTTTTGCTCACGTGCCAGCCCCATCCGTCAAACTGTTAGTCGAGATGATTGGCAGATGCTTATTTGTTTGAGTTGGGACTTTTCATTGAAAAACCGCACGTGATAACAAGTGGAAACGTTGCTTTGCACATGCTTTGCAAGGAGCTCGGCGGAAGAGTTCGACGCGAGATCTTTGGTCTTCGATGGCCCGCGCTTCACATTTTTGCAGGCGCAGGAATTCTTCATTTCCCCGGATGCTTCCTGCAAAACACCCTTAAGTGGCGTAGAGCCCCTCCAAGTGCCGGTGGACAGGGCCGCCAAGGAGGCCCAGCTACAGCAGCGCTTCATGGTTAAACACATCAAAGAGTCTTTGGTGGCTGCTTCGAAGCAAGACGTCTCCAAGGCCAAGGAAGTTGGGCAGACCTTCATGAGCAGAATTGCTCGCCAAGAGCCTGTCCCGCTTGTGGAGCTGCACCTTTTTCCAGGGAGTGCCTGGGCAGTCAATTCTACTTGGAGGGCATTGCTCGTCCCACGGGTCCGGGAGCTTTTCGGCAAGACCTTCTTCCTCTGTCGGCCTGAGGTTGAAATCCAAGAGCCTGGTTGGACGCCTTGTGTGGCGGAGCTGCCCTTCGAACCTCTTCCGACGCGCCTTTTGCACCTCATGCACAGGTGGAGCCCGGCAATCGACCCGCTGCGCTCGACGCCCCACAGGCTGGTTCTGACAGCGGAGGTCTTGCTACTGCTCGTTACGGCTCTGGCTGTGTGGCAGCTGCTGCGCTCGCCGCTGCAACTGCTGCAGACTGGCTGGGAGCAATACATGGCTCCGACGCTGAGCCCGCGGAAGGAGAAGCTGCTGCAGGAGGAGTTGCCAAAAAGATATACCTTGACGCAGCATGCATACTTGTACAAAACTGCAGGCGGCGAGGTGGAAGCAGTGCAGCCCCTTGATGCTTGTCATGATGTGACGATTCTTGAGATGACAGAGGCCAGCAGAGAGAGGCGCAATCTCTTCGCGCATCTTGAACACCTTCTTCTACACCGAAATGAGAGTGCCGTGTGGGGACGAGTGGAAGATCCCGCAGGCTGGGTCGTCCTTGTGAATGAGGCCGACAACCTGCGAGTCATTGCTGCAGGCGAAGTTCCAGGTTCAATGCCGTTTGGTGCCAATGCCATTCTTCTGGTGCCTGTCCCTTCCCTCTTTCGCCGGCTGCTGGTTTTGGCAGCGGCCCACGCTTCGGTGCAATGGTTCCTTCTGGATCGTCTGGCTAAGATGTTCCAAATCGCTGAGATCATGGTGATCTCCTTCTGTGTCTTTGCGATTCATGTGGTTGTGTTGTGGCAAATGGAGTTCACGAATGTGGAAGCCCTGCGTTTTGAACAGGTGCTCGCGACGGAGCAGAAGCTCTTGCGCCTCAAAGCTCCCCGACATGCAACAGCCTGCCTTAGCATCGCTCTGGTAGTGTTGTTCGCCGCATTTGTGGCTGGCATCTTGAGAAGGCATGCCGACCTGACAGAAACTCTTCTGTGCATGGTTTCCTTGCTCACAGCGATTGTGCTGCACGTGCTGGACTTCCGAGCATCTGCGGCGGGCCTTGACCAGTGGAGATCTCCTCAACTACAGGCTACGGAGTTTACCAGCTTCAGCAGCAAGGGCTTTCAGAGCGTGGATGATGGGCCTGATGCAGCTGGAGGTGACATGTCGAGAGGTAGAAACCTGAGGAAACACTTCGTGCGCTGGCTGTGTTGCGCCTTGTCTTCAGTTGGGGCCATCATCCTGGTGTTGATCGTCCTGGATGGCCTGCAAATGAGAGGAGAGCTGCTAGCATATGGCATGAATCGTGGCTTCTTGATGACTCCCCCACACAGTGAAGCATTTACCAACACATTGCTACTTCATAAAAGCGTGGACTCTCTATCCTTCACCTTCGAAGCAGGCCCCTTCACTTCTCTTGTCAAGTTGCGCTTGGAGCATCCACTGATGGCGCCAGATCACCCGGCGGCTCAGCCTGTCACGATCTTTGACTCTGCCCCGGAACAAGGAGCACAAGGAGGCGAGTACTCCCTCCCTCTGCCAGCCGGTCCTCTCTACGGCCGCCTCATCGTGGAGGCCAGCAGCCCGCTGCACCCCAAACCCACGCAGTACGTTCTGCACCTTTTGCGCATCACAGAGGCCGTCACTCTGTCTGTCCAGGCGAGCATCAACCCGAGCCATTTCGAAGAACGGCGCGCGGGCAAACCAGCCATATTCAATGAGGAGCGCCGGTGGCTTTATCAGCGTGGCAATCCCACGTGGTATGTGCCGGACCTGGATGTGAGAGGCGACAGCAATATCCGGTTGAGGTACCTCCCAGTCGTTCTTGCGCCTTTGATGGTATTTGAGAGGGAAGGGGGGCACCAGGCGGACATTAATGGCATGAGCATGATCGCAATGAACTGCCACTGTGGGCCCGAAGTGCCGGGTTTCGGAAACTCTTGCGCTGTGGAGGAGCGCAGCATGGTCCATGTGCTGGACTTCCAAGTCTGCATTTTTCAAAGAATCGTTAAGGAGAAAGTGGTGGTGGCCGAAAGGCCCGGCAGCATCCCCAGCAACAGCTCCAAGTTGGTCCAGTGGCTTCTGGACGTCAACATTAGCGGCAAATCTGCAGTCCTTCAGCTGAATGGCTTAAGAGCTTCTTCCAGCGCTGTTTGGCCTCTGCAGAGGCCGATGGAGCCACAGACGGAGGGCTCAGACCTTGTCATCACCACCACCTTCGAGACACTGATACCAACAGAGAGTCTTCTGACTGAAGTCACGCAACTCGCACTCGCATCAACGCAGGACATGACGGATGCGGAGATGCTTGCCGTGCCCTTGTCTTTTGTCTCCCACGCGCCTCCGATCCAGCTGAGCATCGGGGTATCGCACGGGTTTTTCTTACCAGAGCCATTGGAGTCAGAGGAGCGAAATGATTTTGCTGCTTGCTGCCTTGGAGACCTGACCCCGGTCACCGCGCACATCCGGGACAAACGCTTCATGGTAGCCGAGGCAGAGATCAGCAGGGGTCACGGTTGCGACCGCCAGGGAATCGTGAAGCAGAAGCTATTCACCGCAGTGCGGATTCGAGACCAATCTTGTGAGCCCTACTGCTCCTTGTACCGCCCACGGGCCGACACTTTTGACGTGTCCGTGACGCTCTCCGTTGCGCGGTGCTTTGAACAAGCCATCGACCTTGACGACCTCGCTGCCTTCCGCAACATCTCCCAGAGCATGTCTACTTCAAGGCAAGCAGTCTTCGAAGCTTGCGGTACACTGCAGAAGGCCGTGCAGCAGAATCGGACACTCATCGCCTCGGAGATGCTGACTTCTTTAGGTGCCGACCCGAACGGAGGGTCTCAAGGCCTGGAGACGCCTTTGCAGGTGGCAGCTGAAGCTGGAAACCTTCCTGCCATGAAGCTCTTGCTCGAAGAGAAGGCCACAGTGGATTTCAATGGCCCCAACAACCGCACCGCGTTGTTCTCCGCAGCGTCGAACTGCCAGGCCCAAGCAGTCAGGTACCTGCTGAATTGGCACAGCGACCCGAATCAGCTGGCGCTTCCCGACGCAGGCGCAAAGTGAGACACTCAGACTCAGCAAACGGAGCTGTCATGAGCCTCCAGGTATGTCCCTAGAGTGAGTGTCTCCTGCTTTCTTGGGCTTGGAGTGTGCTGCTCAGTCAGGTGCAAAGTCACACCCCTGCTGGCGCTGTTCGGTGACAGCCGGTCGCAGCACTGCAAAGGCAACGAGCTGAACTCAGTCCTTGAGCAACTGGTCCAAGCCCATGCGAGTCTGTCAGTCCTTGTGCCTCGTCGCAGATGTCTGCCTAAATTGTTTTCTCACCCAACACATAGCCCACGTGCTCCGCCGCGTGATGCCAAACAGGTTTTTTCGTTTGCTGCATTGCACCAGCGAGTGCGCAACTTTCCAAGATACATGCATACTTAGTTGTTGTCACAACTCGACCTTCGACAACCAGAAGGATCGGAGTCGCAAGTGTTCAATGGGAGCCTAAAGTGTAAGCAAGTTTAGTAGCTTTAGTAGGCGTTTACTTCAAGACTTCAACGCATGGAAGAAGGTTCGTCCACGTGTGTGTTCATGAAAAACAGAAGAAAGAATCAATAAGTGGTTTATTCTTCCTATTCTGCATCGGATGACAGAAAAAGGCTCAACGAGAATCCCGAAATCAAAATGGTTCTCCCGTTGTCTCGCGCCAGCACGTTTCAGCGCGAATCAGCCGTGCCTCCATGTCCACAAGCATTGATGCTTTGGCAAAAAGTGAGGCTGATCATGACTGCAGCATGGTCCAGACGGCCTTGGTCATGGCGCTTGACAAGCAAGATAAACAAGATCTGGCCGTGGTGAAAAAGTTGCTGGAGCTGAAGGCCAACCCGAATCAGGCGGGTCGTTCAAGCAGCAATGAACTTGTCATGCCATTCGCTTTCGAGTTCTTCAATCCTCTATGGAATGGAGCTCCTGTGGCTGAGTTCTCTCGGGTTGCCAAGCTGTTGCATCAATACAAGGCAGATGTGGATGCCAGCCTTTATCCTGCTTACTTGACAACGCCCCTCATGGCGGCTTCAGAAGCTTGCAGAGTGGACTTGGTGCAGATATTGCTGGGGCTGAATGCAGACACCACCGTCCAAAACCCAGACAAGCAGACTGCCATGGACCTCGCCTGCCAGGACGGTGGCACGGATGCTGACATCGAGAAGCTGCGGAGCGTCCTTGGCAACGTGACGGGAAGAAAGTAGGACAACTTAGGCAGCTAATCAAGCCATGGACTGTTGCAAAATGTTGCCCATGAGTTCCTGTTGGGAGAGGGACAGAGTGGCTGTGTTTTGCAGCTTGACTGTTCCCGTTCCTGTACATCGCGTGCAAGCGGGGGCGGCATTTGCCAGGCTCTGCCAGTGTAGAAATCAGCAGGGACCTCAGATGCGAGTCTGGTTTTGCGAGGAGCGCGCGTCTGCCTGCAGAGAGGACACCTCTGCAAATCAATCTCATGAAAGGAGTCTAGCAGGCAGATACGCGGTTGTGCTCTGCTCATCCTTCTTTGATTTCTTGTCTGGCTCTTCAACTCCTTCTTTGCAAACCGGGAAGAAATGCCGGAAAGCTTCTGGGCACACCCATGCAACCGAGGAGTCATGGCAGACTTTGCTACGCTGCGTGGTTGTTCAAGCATGAGTCCGTCAGGTCAGCGGCTCAGTCTCAGCCATCGTCCTGAAGGCTTTCCCTTGCCATATCCCACCAAAGGATTCCTTAAATGGGACAGGGCAGCATCAAGCTCAGTTTCATGACCGTTCATGCATAATCTGTCCGAGTGATCGGACATGACACCAACGCGACCGCTGGCCATGGCGCTTGAGGATGTCAGCATGCTGCAACATAGAAGCTTCTCGAAGCACCAGTCAGGCACTAAAGGCAATGGTCACCGCAAGCTGAGGCAAAGCATTGTCAACCTGAGCACTCGGTTTTGGTTGCTGATGAGTCAAGTGCTAGAAGATGAAAGCACAGGAGATTCGCAAACGATCTGCAAAGTAATGGTTTGAAACAAGTTACAAGGTCACATAGGCTGTCCAGAGCTTTTGTAACACTGGCGTTTTTTGCAGCTTCTAACCACGCAAAGCTCCCAGGCGCGAGTGGAATAAGAGCAGGAAATCATGCAGAGCATTTGGAATGGGTGAACGCTTGCCGAGCACGGGACTTGCGACATGTTTGTGGCCCACACAGGAAACTAATTTGGAAGGTTTTTGCTCCGCCACCTTGCCAGGTTTCGGCTTGTCTGCTCTGGCCACGTGATGCCAGGGCTCGTGAAACTCCTTGCGCTGCTGTGCGATCGAATGCAAACATAGATTCTGAGTAGTGAGTAGAGCCGTTGGTAAGCAGGCTAGGCCAGCAGCTCTGCAACAGGATCATTCTGAAGAGGCAATCCGTGTGCGACGCTGTCGGCTCTGCAGACGCGCATGCGTTAGCCAGGTTTCAAGAAGAATCCTGGGCATCATCCAGATGTTGTTTTTACCATTCATCTTCCTCGCTTTTGCTGCTGCTGTGCGCCCCAGTCTTGAAGGTGTCCAAGACAAAGTTGGATTTGGACCACGGCCACATGGGCCAAGAGGCCCTCCGAGAGGCCCTCCGAGAGGCCCGCCAAGAGGCCCGCCAAGAGGCCCGCATGGGGCTGGGCCAGGAGGCCGTACAGAGATGTACGGACGCTTGCAGCGCAGGGTCGACGACATCCTGCGCAACAGGTTTCCCGTCTCCGTTTCGGCACTTCGTTTCTGCTCTTCGGTGATTGAGTACGCTTGGAAGGAGCAAGCCAAGCAGGTGCTTCCACCTTCGCAGCGCTTCACTGTTGGACCACAAGATGTGGCAGCAGTATTGCTTCAGGACGAGTTGGAGAATGCCCAACTGACCTGCCAGGAGGTCATGGCTGGCGCGTTGCAGGGCGGTCAGCCCTGGGCGGTGGACGCTGCAAAGACATCGCAGACAGATGGCGTCTTGCACCCGCTCGGCCGCCTGCAGGCAGTGGACAACGAAGACAGAAGTCCTGCATGGAAAGCTTCGCTGGAGCACGTTTGCAAGGACGAGTGCCAAGAGCTTGTTGCAGGCATTTGGGATGCCCGCGTTCCCATCATCGGAAGCTTGGAGTCAAAGGCCCCCACGGAGACCTGTGCGAATGAGGTGGTCCGTAAAGTCGAGGCCCATATTCTGGGCTGCTGTGCAGAAACTTGTGGATGGAATGGCGCCGCCTGCACCTTTTGGCCTTTCTTCAGTGTGGCAGAAAAGGGAGCCTGGGAGGCAGAGTGCTGCACGGAGTGGAATGTGTTAGCAGGGTCCGACAGGGAGAAGCTTTGTGATGCAACGCTGACGCCGAGCCAGAAGGTGCTGGCGGACGAGCACGACTTGGAGAAGTCCGAGAAAGGTGCCGTGCTGCTTGGACAGGATGAGCAGCTGAAATGGACCCGCAACGGGGCGAGGAATTTCCACAGCGAGCACGTGCAGGAGGGCCAAGTCGTGTCACAGGAATTCCTGCTCAAGGACCGGACGCCCTCCATCTCCATTCAGGACGGTTTAGATGAGGGGTGGTGGATCCGGGAGGTTTTGACGAGCAGCTCTCTGTTGGAACTCGGAGACCGGACCAGTGACTGTCCACCTCCCTTCGACACAATCAGGGCCAATGAGAAAAAGGCAGACTCCTGGTTCAAGATTGGATTCGCGCACTACGGCCCCCACAAGGCCATGTGTGGCAATCCGCAGTTAGGGAATCAGACAGACGAGGTGACAGACTGCACTGCCTTCATTCAGCCGAGCGTCAGTGTCAAGGCGAAGTGTTTTTCTGTCAAGGAGACATGCAAGATTTTTGAGAAAGAGCTTGACAAAAACCTCAAGAGGGTCAAGGCGAACCCTGAGTCGACGAGGAACATGGTATATTTTCACAAGTCACTCTGCACAACCTGCGCGTAGAGCAGAGCCAGACGGCCAGCTTGGCTTCCAGATGACTTTGCTTGAAAAGGTTCGATCGATTTACTGGGTGTTGATTTGTGATTTGAAAGCTTCTAGCATCCTTGAGATCCTGACAACTCCGATTGCATCATTGGCTAGCAGGATCAGCCGCGGTTCTGAAATTGGACGAGGTAGGCAAATACTCGAGGCGATTGTATTTTCGAGTCGTGCGCATCGGTTTCTCTGGTTGAAGCTACGATGAGAACATAGACATGTCTTGGCCAAATCGTGGCCAAGGCTGGGAGCGATCTCGTGCTGAAGCGTGCTCAAACTGCAGCAAAGTAGAAGCTCCCCACAGGATCTCTCGCCTGGACAAGGTGACAAGGTGCTACCGTTTCCTCAAGAAAGGTGGTCGAGCACACTTTAACTCTGACACGTGCCCAAACGGGTTTTTGGCGGGGCATTGCGACACAACGGATTCCGAGAAGCGCAGTGCATGCGCGAACTGCAGGTACGCAATTTATATTTTCCGTGGTGTCTCGCTGGCCCGGTTGCCGCTGTATGAAGTGTAGTTCTCAACCACCAGGATCCGAGAAGCAACAGACAGATACCTGTTGGCAACAGGTACAGTCGAAATTCCGTTGAAATATTATCCTGCGCAACGCTTTCGGGAAAAATCATTGTTGCCCATGTTCTTCTTTCCTTGTGTATGTTCCAATGATTCAAGTGCCAATGCAACCCGTGTTGCCTTCTTTCCGTATGTTCCAGCGCTGAGCGTGCAATAACGGATCTCCGACCAAAGTATGTTTGGCTAGCAGCCTCTTGTTTGAACGCTGTCAGCCAATGTGTTTTATCAACAATACAGGAATCTCATTCAGGGGTAGGTATTCTGCCCGCAGATGGCAGCCAGACTTTGATGTCTTGCTTTTCAAGGATGCTATTGCAGCCGCTCATTGCGCGTTCGTACTAGCTGAGTTGTGCAATGTCCATGTGAGTCCACGTAATCATGCGAACTGCCTTCGACCACACAGGAAAGTTTTTTCGGTAAGGTTGCATGGGCATTAGTATCGCACTTGTTATAACCGGTCAACGTTGGATTTGGTTGAATGCAGTTTGGCAGCATGCCGCTTCCCCATGGGGATGGTGTGCCGAATCAGGCCGGGCAAGACGTGGTAACATCGGTTGCTGCATTTCCATGCAGTTGCATGTGCAGGAACCATTCAAGATTCAGACATTCAGGTCAAAGGTGAAAAACATGTCTTCAGCAGCTTGGCTCAGGTGGCCGGACCTTGCACCATGTCCGGGGCATTGCCTGAACACAAAGGACAAGGCACCAACGTTGAATGCAAATCCTGCCGCAGTTCTGCGTGAGTATTGCAGGGAAACGACGGCGCCGTCGTCGACATCGCAGCCGTTCCAGGGAAAGGCGTGCGAGACCAAACAAGATCATCGAACATTGTGTTTTTTTCGCTTGTTGTATTGTAGTTAGTCATTTGTGTGAGCATGAACCTTGTTCTCCGTGCAGGGATGTCTTCGAACCCTACCACGCTTGCGCAGTTCCGCGTGTGCCAACCGCAGCATTAGTGCAGTGTCCTTGATCTGCCAGCAGCTAAGAGGTCGTTGAAAATGGACCTTCCCAAGCTTGGACGAGACCCAGGGGCTTTTCCCTGCCCCAAAGTTTTGTGGTTCGGCAACCGCATGTTTGCTGGCAGAAAACCATCCCAGCTTTGTCGAGCTCACATGCGCTGACAAAGATAAACACATCAATTGCATCTATTTCGGGAAGGCGTCGGCTTTGATGGCAGAGCTGCCACAAACGGACCGGCTGATGCCTCAGTTTGTGGTGTGCTTGGATGCTTTTTGCAGGCTGACGTGGTGGATGCCACAAACCAATCATCTGTGTGTAAGGCCCATGTCCACTGTCATGCTGCGCAACATACCTTGCAGGCCTATTGAGGGCGCCTCTTGCTTGTTCTTCAGAAGTTGCTGCAACTTTGCAGGTATACGCAAGGGTCCTTGATGCAAGAAGTCGACCAGCGATACGCTCAGAGAAGTCGTGCAGTGCTCCGTTCTTTAGTAGAGGCACACGCCGCTTGTGCAACTCAGGATGGGCTTTGAAGGCTTTTACGACTTCTTTTATCTCCCGATGGAGCGCCTCAATCCCACCAGTGGTTGTTGCCATTGCTGAATCATATCTGCAAAACTGACTGGCACGGCAGGACACTCGCAACAAAAACAGTGTTGGCTATGCCTTCATCAACTTTAAGGAGCCCGAAAAGGGGGGTGCGGCCCCAAGGAGGCTGGGGGAACTTGCAAAGGAAGGTTCATGCGTTCTGAGGGAGCCCTGCAGCATGGAAATCTCAGGGAGGAGGGATCTTTGGACAAAACCATACTGAAAGGATAGGCCGCCGTAGGCCACCGTATGCAGTTCTCAGGGTGTACGCTGTGTGTGTGTGGGTTGCAAAGGATGTTGGAAGATCTCAAACCGCATAGATTTTTGGGAAGTGGGGTTGGGCATGGTAAGAGTAGCTGTGTAGCTGTCAGAAGATGTCTGCCAAAAGGACTCCATGGATGCTGAGCGCTTCGTGGAGGTTGGCGCGGGTTCAGCCATGGGGTCGATGTGGAAATGACAGGATTTAGTTGCAGGCTCCGTGGACGTTTTCAACTCAGAATTTCGTGTCCTTGCGTGTTTTGGCTCAAGCATGAGCTCAGCTGCTCTCGCTTGAGGCATGTGGGGAACTCAGACGTGGTCATCATTTCCGTGAGGATGACTTGCCAATCCTTGCGTTGGGAAATGCAGGTGTCCATGTACTGCTGCTCGGAGCCGGATAAGCGTGACGAGCTTCAGGCTTCATTCATCTTCATTCGGGCACGAGCTGTGGAAGTTCTCAGTTTGCCTCAAGGGCAGTACCGTTGTCCTTGGCTTGCCACTCAACTCCGTGCTCTGTGGCAATTCGCTTACAAGCGGGAGATTGTCGCTACAAGAGTAGGAATCTCACTGACTTTGCTGTGCGCGTTTCGATTTGTATCGTGCAGGTCTCGTGGGAAGCCCGTGAGCAGCGTGGCCACGATACCTTTCATTTCCAGAAACTAAAACATCCGTAGGTTCCATGTATTACCGAGGAATTTGTCGTAGGTTACATTCTGTTCTGGCCAAACTCCGAGACTGAGTTCTGCAAGGCTAGGCCAAAGCCAAGACATTGCAAGAACCGTGCTGCATCACGCGACAGTCTGTGTGGCAACGTTGGATCCGAGGCATGCTTCCGACGAGGCGGCCGTGGGTCTCCCCGCCACAGCTCGAAAAGCGCACACCTTCAAGGCAGGGACCATCTTGTTGTACTCGTCTGTACGCATGTCAGCATGCCAACTTGCAGGTGGTCCTGAAGTACGACGGTCGTGACTTGGCCCATCTTGGCTCCAGGTTGGACGGTGCCGCTGAAGCCCCCCCCCCCTTTGTGTGCCGCACAACTCGACTGCGCGATCCGCCAAAAGGAACGTTGGGCGCCGACCTTGATGGCACCGACATCGGGCGCGGTCTCATGGCCGCCTGGCAGAAGTGACTTCTTCTGTGAGACGCAGCAGGACATGGGCGACTGGCGAAATCCCGTGCCTCTCTGGGTAGCTTTGGGCGGGACATAGCACGTCACTTGCGGCCTCCAGGTTTTGCTGCAGTGACAGTGGGCGACACGTGCACTCAAGGGAACGAGCTTCTTTGTGTGGAGGGCGCAGGTTGATAATGTAAAGGGTCTCCAAAGCAGTGGCGCTTGTTTTTTATCGGTGCTACACGAGTTCTCAGACTCCGAAGCGACGGCTGGCGGCCCTATTTTTTAACAGCCAGCACCCATCTCAAGAGTTTCAAGGGGGCATAGGCGGCAAAGGCGGCGAGGTCCATGGAGGACGGGACAGGTCACAGAGCCCCCGAGGCCTCTCTTGACGAAAGATCCCTCTCTTGACGAAAGATCGATTCAAAGCTGCTCTCCGATTCCCTGAAGAAACAGTATCCTGTGTGGGAATACTTCCACCATGTGACCAGGGCTGTGTGGAATCAAAGTGCGTTCTGGGGTTGAGGCGGCGCCCGTTTCTGAGACCTCCGTCCCCAGGTCAAGGCCATCTTGGAAGATGGCTTGCTGCCTGACTGGAATCGAAGCAGTCCTGACAAGGGCCTCAAACCCTACGAGCCTCTCCTGGACTAGTGTGTGGCAAGAGGTCGGCGTGAGGTTCGGGTTTCGGATCAGCTTGGTTCAGGGCGCCTCTTCTTGACAGCTACGCCTGACGTGAGGGTCCGAAAGGGAGGGAGGTCAGTCTCGTCGAGGCCACACCTACTTCTGAGGGCGGTGGGGAGCCTAACTGCGGCATTTACAGTTGAAGGAGGTGCAGTGGAAAACCACGTCTGGGCAAAAGAGCCAATAAAGTGGAAAGCATGAGTTTGCTGCCACAAGGCGACAGCAGAATGTTGTAATAACCTTCTCTGTGAGCTCAAGTCAGCAGAATGTTGTAATAACCTTCTCTGTGAGCTCAAGTCTGAGGACAAGATTTTCGAGGTCAATGGAAAGGCCCTTAGCCTTAGTATGCCTTAGTCAGCTGTGCCTCTTCGGGATGCTGAGGAGACTCGTGGCTCTGTGGAGTTTCGCTCGCCAGGCAGGCTCCGTCGAGGAGCTCCAGGAGCGAATTGTCGCCTCAGGCCGAAAGCTTAGGGCTCAGAGGATGTGAGCGTGGCCGCAGTGTGTAGGAGGTCTTCACGTCAGATTGTGTTGGTTGCTGTCTGGAGCGTCATGCACGTTTTTATGTTGTGTGTGTGTGTCTTCCTTCATGGGGTCTCAGAACTTGCGGTGCTCTCCTCCTGTGTGTCTTCATGCTGTTTGGTTTTCGCTGTCACCATTCTGGCAACAGCTCCGGGAACCTTCATTCCCACCCGATCCCAGACAACTCACAAATCAAGCTTCTCACGAGCGCCAACACATATTATGCCTAAGCCTTTGAAACACTTCATTGTGGGCTTTGGGTGCTCGTCTGACGTTTGGATTGCCATTTCGCCCGGCCCTCCCCCCTTCCCTCCAAAGCACGCAGGCGAAGAGCTTACACTATCAGTCCGGCGACCCGAGCATCGAAAGATTTCTTTGGAGCGGACTGCGAGTGGCTTGACATTACGCCCTGTCATTAGATTTTCCGGGACAGGTTGCACATGCAGGTTTATGAGCTAGACTACTTGTTGCCAGTTGAGTCTCTGCGCTTTGAGGCTTGGGGGTCAAATTGCACTACAAGCCACTGGGAAGATGGTTTTGCTTCCTGTGGTGCCAAGTCGTCAGTAAGTCTGAAACCTTTGACTCCGTGTGCACTGAGGAAGTCCTCTAGGGGAGTCGTGATCAACGAGCGGCTTGGGCTTCAAACTTGCCCCCCAACGATTGTTATACTGATTCCTGATGGTCCAACTTTCTGATATTGTTAGTCGCAGTCCTTTTTCTATGGGTTTATTCAGGTGCCTCCTGATCCTGGAGAACCCCCCCCCCCCTTCGCGAGCTTGCTGCGGCACACGCACCCGCACCCAAGGATCCTTCCAGAGGGCCTCTTGCAGGAGTGGAATGATGCACATCCTTCTTTTCAGATTGCAGCCGGGGACCGGATCCTGGAAATCGGAGGCGTGACGCAGGGAGCAGAGGACCGCTGGCCTTGTCTTTCGGGCAAACTTTCTTGTCTCCGAGTGACCCTACAGGGTCGGCACGGTGAGGTACAGTATCCCGCTGAAGTGTGAAGATCTTGCACCCTTTAGGCTTGCAAGCTTCACTGGTTGTACTTGTGTTCAATGTTGGTGGTTGAGGTCAGTAGGGTCTCGGTTTCAGCTTCTCTTCCGAAGTACCTGAAGCCGCTAATAATGGCATGAAACGGATATCAAGGGCATTTCGCTGGGGTACCTGATGGCTCGGTTGGGCTGCCCGCTTCAACCCCGGTTTCCTCGTTTTCTGTGGATTGGCGGCCAGGACATGACCAAAAGGCTGTGACCTCAGCTGTTTCGTGGAGTGGCCACATGGAAACACTGCAACTTGAACTTTCGCCACATTCGCTCCCACGCTTCCAGGTTGTCCACAGATGACAAGCTGGACCTTACCATCCTGCACTATGACCAGGCAGCGATATCGGTTGTGAAGCGTCCCGAGCCTGCCCTTCTCAGCAGTCCGCCACATGGTCTTTTGAGTTCCTTGATCTCCGAGGAGACGTCCTACCGCAAATGATCCATGCCCCCGGCTTCAAGTCTTCAAGTGCCTTGCCGCAATGATTCGCTATGGCCAAGTTTGACAGTCTTCATGTGTTCACCACGGGAGGTCTCCGTCTAAATCTGTTTCCTGTGGTCCGGGTATGCTTACCAGGTGTTGGGGGTGCGCTTTCCGGCTAAACTGGCTTTTTGAACTCCAGAATTTCTGTCTGCAGGTCACGAGTCAGGAAAATGCGGTGAGCCTGTGCACAGGCACAGGCGTGGGACTAGAAGTGGAAAGCATCTGTGCAGGTGAAGATAACTTGAAGCAGTATGGCAAGCAGGGAGCACGTAAGATTATCGCACTTCCTTTCTCGACCTGTCTTTGCAGATCACGGTGTCCAAACTTCATGGACGTCCCGGCCGAAGTGTCGGGACGCCTCAGGGGTGCTCCCGAAGGTAGCGCCCCCATGGGTTTCCGCCCTCGTGTTGCCGCGCGAAGTTTCCAGGCAAAAGGTGGCGAGCTGCCCAGACTGCGCCGTGCTGGATTCAAAGGATGTCCAGAACATGTCCGACTTGTTGAGGGCCCGTCTGCGACAGAAGCCCTTCGATCTTCTTAGCTGCTCAGAAGAAGGCATAGTTAGTTTTCGTACTTCATTTGTGCCACGCTTTGCGCTTGAGGCAGGAGGGGCCCATGATGGACAGCTGCCAAGAGTGTTTGGGGATCTTTTGGGCGTGCAGGTGTCGATGTCCTGTTGCCTCCACGAAGGGGCTGATCTTGACGACGAGGCTCGAGGGAAGTGCGCGATGTATCTTATTGCCTACGTACAGCCTTCTGCAAGCTCAACATGATCCAGAGTCTTTGTGTGTGACTGAGTGGTAGCATGTTTGCATGTCGGTTTGTCGAAGACACTTGCACTGTGGCCAGGTCGTCATTAAGCGCCTCGTCTGCTTGAGACTGCGCATGCAGTTGTGTTGCGTTGTCCATGTCTCTTCTCTGAAGGGCCGACAGAGCAAGCATGTATACATATATATATATATATGCATATACATATGTGTGTATATATATCTATGTGTATATATATATATGTATGTATGTATACATATAGATATATATGTATGTATATATATATATATATATGTATATATATATATGTATATGTATATATATATATATGTACATAGTATACATGTATATATATATATATATGTAGAAAGACATGACGTGCACGTGCCCCACTGTGCAGACTGTGCCCGAGCAACGGTGGTGATCCTAAGAGGCCAGAGTATTGGGAAGAACGCGGGAAGAAGCCTGGCATCTTCAAGGCCCCTCATGCTCATGAAGCCACATGAAGTTTTCTAATGTAGGAGTGTCTGCGAACAAATTCATACTAAGATGTGTTTGTTTCTTGCTTTGGTGTCAGGTGACCTTGACGTATGATGGTAGTCGCTTGCCTGCAAGCTTGGAGCTACTCGAAGAGAAACTCTTCTGCTCCGTGTACTTCCCCGAGCCATCTTGCTGTCCTTACAATCGCAATCACCAGTGCCGCAACTCAGACGCACAGCTCAACAGCAAGGCTGCTTAAAGCCAAGAGGTGGGGGAAGCCCACGGTGCAGCAGAAAGCCCGCAAAGAAAAGCACCCAACAGTGCCGAGGCTACAGTCCTGGCTACTCATAGCACAGAAAGGGGAGTCGCAAAACCCAAAAAAGAACAAGACCTGTGGCTGTGCACAGCCATCGCCGAGCTCGCAGTTGATTGTAGGATGTGGAAGGAGAGAAGAATCCACATGACACCAATGGGCGCCGGCAGCTACGCTGCTAAAGTAGCTCGGCATAATGCTAGAGGCCCATATGACATTCCTACACAACATGACAACGACTCACAAATGAAGCACTCACGGAGGCCTGAGAAAGAGCCATTATTGGACTTTGCTCTCAACTTTAGAAAATCTCCCCGAACAGTTCTGCTGCATCCTTTGCTCTCCTGCCAAGGAAAGATTGGAGCTGATTTCGATGGTACCGATGCTGAGCGGGGACTCATGGTTTCCTGGACATGCATTGTTTAGCTGCAGCATATGACGTTCGACAAACGTATTTTCGGGCGGGGGGGCTCTCTGAGTGTCGTCCCCAAGCCAGGATAGACGACTTTTTCAGAGCTTCCAAAAAGGGCGTTTGGTACCTCTTTGTCGTTGCTTGCTGCTTCATCGCGTTCGAAACGCTTGGAGAAATGCGTTTGGCACTGTTTTGTTTGATTGGTAACTGCAAGCTTATGTTAAGGTCACCAGTGACAAGACAAGACCTCATTGCATGCATCCTCCAGTACTTATATTCACACGAACGCTTAGTGTAGTTGTTCAACCAGTAGAGTACCAGTGGTGCAACCGATTGTTTCGTTCGGTTGAGCCGCGAGCCAATACTTGGACGTGCATCTGCTGGGCGTTGCATTGGGCTTGTTTTGCCCACGAATAGGAAATTTCTTGAATCGTACACAACATGCCATGTCTCTTTGCATACACGAGATTGACAGGTTGATCAGTTCAGCCAGCCTGATTCTCACCTCGTACCTCAGTGCAGAGTGTCCGCAACCACACCAGCGCAACGGATGATGACCCACACCAGCAAGGGCGAGGAAGCACTGCATCAATCAGCATTCGTCTTACTACCCACATACGTGCCACAACGTCTGTCATCAGCAGGCTCAGGCACTCGCAGGCCTACGAAAGATCTCCAAAGATCTCCTGCAGCCGGGGCCACCAAGCAGGATATCCGACAAATCACCTTTAAGCACCCTCGCCCCCCCACACACACTAACTACATAACAGATGAAGTTTGTCAGACACGTACTTCGACAACACCCCGTCCTGCCTGAAATGTCTGACTTCGCTGCGGGGTTGCTAGCTATTCTCCTCGCCTGGGTCTCCTGATGTCTCCTGTGCTCCTCACCTTCTTGCAGGTCCCCTACAGAGAATCCCACTTCAGAACTCCCCTGCAGTGCCCCCAACGGAATCCTGCAGAGCATGATTGGGTGCCTTTCTTCAAAGCATTCCGCACAGAGTATTCCTGGAGCTCCCACCCCCAGAGAAGCTAGCAGCAGCTAGCAGTTTATCCGAAGACTTCCCCCAGATCCCAACATCCCATCTCCAGACCGAAGTTGATCCCCACATCACCCATGCAATTGCTTAGTTTTTGGATGGGGGTGTTCGAAGTAATTATGCGATTCAAGGTTAAGACCCTCGCGGAAGATGGCATGCTGCCTGAGTGGAATCTCGCCTACCCCGACATGGAGGTGAAGCCCTTTGAGCCTCTTCTGCCTGCCTTGCTTTTGGGGTAGTAGGCTTTATATACATGGCTTCCGAAGTTTATGGTGTGTGAACGCGTGTCTTCGGCGTCCAGGTCTTGCACAGACGGCTTCCCTGCGTTGCTGTTGCAGTTGTCACAGGTTGCCGGGAGGGATGTGAGGGATGTGGTATGATGTGGTTGTGATCTGTTCGGGTGCAACCAGACTCAGGACATGGTCATCGCGGTTAACGAGGAGGCTTCGTGCGTGTGGTGATTGTGTGCGGCCAATTGCGGCCATGAAGGTGTGGAGGCAGCAAAGAAAAGATCGCCCTCTGAGCATGAGGTGTTCGTAGTTGATAGAGAGGAGTATCTTCCATTTGGGGGTCTTGCAGTGCCTCTCTGATTGACTCAGAGGCCGGCGCGGTCAAGGACTTCCAAAGCAAGACGGCGGCGCCAGGCGTCCGAGAGAGCTGTTCACATCCCAAAAGCACATCCAGAGACCCATGCGTCGTTTTTGAGCTCTTGCGGTGCAACAGCTTTCGTTTCGTAGCTTCAACCTCGGGTCGGACCCGCACTATCTGAAAACACCCTGAGCTCAATGGCGGCTACGCATGGTGGGTTTGCTTGCATTTGCTTAGCACCTTCTTGATACTGATTTGACTGTGTGATGAGGGGCCGCGGGGGCACACGCGCAACCTAAGTGCAAGCAGGACAGAACTTGAACGCAGCCAAATACTCCACATCCAAGCTAAATTCCTCACTTCCTCGTCACCTGCAAAGGTGAATCGTTTACGCTGACTATGCAGCGCCCTGATCAATATGAGATCTCCATGTCGCGAACAAAGAGTGGCTTGGCCATGGGCATATTCCTTTATGGGCCGTTTCTTTCTTTAAATGTTATGTGGGAGTGGCTTGCGCTGCTTCCTCGTGAGGCCTGGGGATCAAGTTGAGTTACAAGTTGCTTGGCTTGGCAGATACATTTTTTGACCCTATCGAGCGAAATGTTTTTGCCCATGTCTTCAGTCGCCAAGTCAGCTGCTCGACGAGCACTTGTGTGCGTAGAACAAGACCAGGAAGAATCGGGAGAGAAGGTTTGGAAGACACGGCCAGAGAGTTAGGAACGCGGACTGGTTTGGCTCATGTATTCTGGCACTCTTTTGCGCTCAGGTGCCATTCCAGAGCATTTGTAGAGCAGTCGAAATCGCCTTGCAGAGCCCCTGTATCTGTCCGCCCTGACAAGTCATAGTATCCCTGGCGCTCGAAGAGCTTCAGCAGCCGCAAGCTAAGGAAGAGTTCCCAAGGAATTGTGATCGGCGAGTGGCTCTGTTGCAGGAAGGGTTGAGGGTCTCAGGGTTGATGGTTAAGGCAAGGCCAAACGACGTTTTCTGCATGATGCTTCAGAGCATGATCCAGCGGGGGATTTCCTAAGCTTGCGACCGCATTCCAGAACTGCCATGAGCTGGACAGAGGCATGCAGAGGTCCAGACTGAGGACCGACCTCAAGCCAAAAGCCCTGCTAAGCCTGAGGATCCTTCCTGACGGGGCCTTCGAGCAGTGGAATTATGACAATCCCGCTCTCCAAGTGACTGCTGGCGACCGGATTGTGGCTGTTGGAGGCGACAAGCTCCTTGCAGAGGACCGACTTTCGGGCTTTGGCTTCAGAGCCGAAAGGCTTGTTTCCATTTTGCTGAGGTGGGGGGGGGGGCGCTGTAAACGCCACAACGAAACCCCACCGTTCTCTCAATGCAGCTCAGCCACTCAGCTAAGCAGATCTAAGCAGCTTTTGTCCAGGATATGACCAAGAGGCCGCTCAGCTGCGCTGAAAATGCTGAAGCCGCGACCAGACCCAGTCTGTTGCAATCTGAAGCTTTTTGCCCCTACACATCTCTGCGCCCACCTGTAGGTTGGCTTCAGATGACCCGCTGAACGTCACCATCCTGCACTTCCCCGAGATAACAATGTGACGAAGCCTTTGCAGTGCAGCGGATGGGACAATCCTGCAGGCGTCATCACATGAGCAGCTCCATTGGGAGTCGTGGTGGTGCTTTCGGTGCTTTGTTTTTTTTCCGATGCATAGGCATCTCTGGCCTTACCCGTGAAGCGGAGTGAAGCGGAGTGCCTTTAGGTGCCGACAGCCACGGCTTCAAGTTCGCAGTTGCTGTATAACAGCAGCTGTGTATTGGGTATGTGGTTGTTGTAAATTGCATCAGTGATTTGACCCACGAAGATGGGTGCTTTTGCCTCACTGTTGCCTCGATCGCCAAAGTGTGTCGGGCCATGTGCGAGCAGTTTGTGATTTATCGTGGTGACATGATCCAAACCTTGCGCGGGCCGATCTCATACAAGGGTGCGCATGATTTCGCTTTGCATTCCCCACCCCCAAAATTGTAGTTTAAGGATAATCATGCCCACCTGCACCATAACAGGCAGCAACAGCCTCTACTACCACTCAGCGAGACAGGAGGACATGACAGGAGAGAGGACAGGAACGAGCATAGATATGAGGAGGACAGAATATGAGGAGGACAAATAAGAGGAGGACAGTTTTGAGGATAGATAGCTGGAAAGGAGACACGACAGGAAAGAGGACAGCTACGCGGAGAGATGGCAGAACAGCAAGAAGGACAGATAGGAGGACAGACAGCTGCCTTATCGTGGCCGATTAGGCCTCTCACGCAGGAGGCTTCTCAGGCCACTCAGCAGGCTGCTCAGGCCGGCGATTGCAACGAACAATAGCGGTTGCACCTCAAAACTGCGGCGCTATGGCAGGCTTTTTCAGGCGTGAGGAGATTTTTGCATTTCGCGAAGCCGGACGTCCAACAGCGACGAGAGTTTCGTATTTCGCAGAGACATCCAAGAGCGACAGCCCCCAAAAATGAATCTGCAGTACCTTGCTGCCACAGAGGATCCATCGGCGGAACCTCCGAATCGTGAAGGCTTCATAGCTTTCCGTAACACACGAAAAGCGACACGAGGAGGAGCCAATCCACACTTGCCAATGAAACGACGTTTAGGTGCCCAGTCGAGAGCGCGACAGTACAGGCTGTTTGGTTTATGATCTTGTCATGTTACAAAGACAAGCTGAAGCCAACCTAGGTTTCCACCCAAGATAAGTGGAGTGAGCTTGTTTTCTTATTCGGAGCTTCTAGTCTTAGTAGAATGGGTATGCCCAGCAAGTATGCACTTGGGACAGGGTGGGGATGCCCGAAGTGATAATTTGGTTCAGAAGGCTGCGTGATTCATCGTGATTCTTCAGTGTGAGTGTTCCAGTTCTATGTTGTGAACCGCAGGCCATGCAGGGTCACCACTTTCGGAGGTGGGGCCCTTATGTTCGGAACCAGAGCAGGGCTTGCGAGTGTGGGCAGGTGTGGGCGCATGGATCTAAGGCATGTCAGCGAGAAGCTGCCGAAAGCGTCCCCCGCACACTTGCAGGTCCCCGATGTCATGGTCGGGATATGTCGGGGTATGTCGGGCTGACGTATGACATGAAAGTCTTTACTGTTTCGTCTGTCAACAGTCAGGCTTGCCTTGCAGTGTCGCGCACCCCAGTAGACGCGACAGCTTTCGTGGTTGCAGTTGTCGATGATGCTCACTCGTTGATCAAAGCAGTCCAAACAGCAAAGACCCATGTCGTTTTCCCTGTATTTCCTTTTGGTAGGCCCGGGGCTACTCCTCCTGGTTCGAACCCGACCCTTCTGATGGAGGGGAGAGCAGGGCTATATAGGGCTATGTATGCTATCGATGTAGATTTAAGATGGGGTGGGAGGTCTCAGATCAAGGGCTCGGAGGGCAGAGGCCTCCGAGGGTGGGTTGGTTGGTCGCTTGGGCTTGAGTTTAGTCTCGCTGTAGCAGGGCCGGACAAGGTTTGGAAAGTTGTGAGGAGCAGTGATGTGGGGGAGAGGGGGGGGTTTATTGATAGTATCAATATGACTGTGACTTCTTGAATCATGTCAGGGGGAGTTCTGGTTCTGCTGGGCCTGCTTCTCCACTTCATTCCCTCTTCTCGAGCTTGCTCTCCCCCCTGTTCGCTTCCATCTCTGTCTCCATGGGCTCTCTCGGTCTCTCCGCGCCGTGCGATTGCCACCAACAATTCCTCGAGCTTGTGCTACCTTTCATTGGGCCTCGGCCAGTGGTTGTGTGAGGTGTGAAAGGGGAGGCTTTGGAGCATCCGACCTTCTGTGAATCATCCCGTGAACACTCGTCAAAGCCAGGGCACTCCACAGAAATCGTGCCGGCTCAGTGCTAGTTCATGCTGGTTTTGCTCATGCCTCGCGCTAGCTAATCTCCTTTGTCCTTGCGTTCCTGCAGACAGAGAGCTGCAAGTAGATTTCCAAATCATGAAGGCAGGCTGCCTGTCGCACTGCAATCTGCCATGTCTACAGGGTCTGCGCAGCAACGTGCTCCATTTCGCCAATCGTGCAGCACCCAGTAGCTCCAGTAACTCATTGAGAGTTCTTGTTGGACTTACGCGGCTTGTTGCGTTGCAAAGGTGCTGTTGCGAACTGCCGTGATACGCGGTACCGTCCCGTCGTACTCGCTGAAGGCAACCATCAGTGCTGGTCTTAGATGGTCCTAGCCAACCTCACGCTGCTGGCCTCTTTGTGCAGGCGGGCGGCGCTTGGACCTCCACGAGGCTTTGGCTCGGCTTGGTGCGGCCCTTGCCAGGATGCAGTGACACACAATGTGTGGGGATATGCGGGGAGGTGGGTTTTGAGATGTTTTGAGGCTCTGGGCTAACAGAAGACAAAATCTCAGCCATAACGTCCTTGGATTCCAGCCCTCCCGGCCGCGACTGCCACATGGCGATCCGGGGCCTAGTAGCAGCACTCTTGCTTTGTAGGCAGCCTCACTACAGTACAGCATTTGCGAATCCGTAGTTCATGCAGCTGTCACAATGGTTCAACGGCAACATGATTCTGCAATTCTATGCGTGTGGTAAGCAGTAGGGCACTTTTCGGTGTTGAACTGAAGAATCTGAAAAAAAAGCAGCTGCCATTACCAAGGTGAAGCGGAGGCCCCGCCAACAGAGGCCGATTCTCCCTTGACAGTGCGACCCTGCTTCTCGCTGCGAAAGCTTCTGCTATCTTCCGCGTAAGGATGCTTTCTAGCATGTGCTAGCTTCGGACTTTGTCGAGGTGCGAAGTGAAAAGGCCCTGGTGGAGGCTCGCAGCTGCTTTGCTTGACTAAGACGCTGATGACATAGGACCGCGGGAGCAAGATTGTCCCAGTAGCTGTCGTTCATTGTCTTACGTTTAGCCCGGAAATACTTGAACTCGGACTCGGTACCCTTCACTTGCAATAGGGCTTTGTTTATCACTACACCAATGCAGCTTCTACACACATTAAGCGGTTCGGGCAGTGTCTCCTTCGAGACACGTGATCCACCTAGGCATCGAACCAACTATTAAGTGTAACAATCAGGTAACAATTAGGGTGCAGGCGCATAGCGGGCATGGTTGTTTGATTGGCTTCGAAGTGCCGAAGCGTGGGGTTTCTGCACAAATATCTTCTGCACAGGTTTCCTTGCGGAAACGAAGATGCTCAGCAATTTTTGAGCCAAACGTTTGAACACATATACCAACTTTCAGGACTGAAGGTTCGTCCGAAGCCTTTCCTGGGATCCTTCAATCTTCAATCCCAGGGTTTTGGGATACTATCGTTGAACATTTATATTTCAAGCCATTTTTTCTCCAATGGCTTGATGTTTGAAATGGCTCAGGCAGCCTGACAACGGTTTCATGGTCTCGTGGCCATAGGGGGAAAGGATGGGTTGACAGTTAAATAGCTTCACGGTTCAATGCTAACCATCCCGTAGGTAGAACTTTGACAGTTTAAGGCCAGAGGCCTGGACCGTTTAGTTTGATGGGTTCATCGTTGGACGTGGCGGGGTGGGGGGGGGGGGAGGTAAACACCTGAGCACACTGGCGTTCACTGCATCTTTGTCTACTCAAAGAACATACCGCAGAAGGATGTGTGACGGCTCTGCAACACGACGCTCTGTCGACAGCGTTCATGTCTTTCGTGAACATCCCAAACCACAGTCACATACAGCGCTTTTGCCTCTTTGTACAACATTCTCCGCTGAAAGGATCTACGGTTGGTGATGGCCGTGATGGCCGTGATGATGATGATGATGATGATGATGATGATGATGATGATGATGATGATGATGAGAACGCTGCTACTGCAATGACAATGGCAAACATCTTGGCAGAAATGCACAACCCTCAATCTTCAAGCCGAGGATTGTGACGAAAAGTTGCATGTTTTTTGAATTGATGTTCACGTAGTCTTGGGTGGGAACGCATGAACACAATAATGAAATCAAGTAATACACGTGGGCCCAAAATCATGAGTACAAGGACAAGGTATTTGTCGTGATGTCATGAAGCTGCATTCTGCAGCGGCTTGGCTACTTAGAAAGGCTAGCGCTTGCCAACCACGTTTCAATGCATCAGAAAAATGCTGAATAATTGGCACGTGCTGGGTCGAGGTGCCACGCATGTTTCCAACACCTGTGCATCCTTACTCCCAGCTTACTCCTTGCTTCGCAGGCCTCCCGCTGCTTCGAGGCGGCCAAGGCCAAGCTGGAGGCTGCGACACGGACACGAGACACGCTTTTTGGTTGGGGGGGTCATCCGAGTGCATCCTGCACCTGTTGCAGCCTGTTGCAAGTTGTTGCAACTTGTTGCCGCAGTAGGGCCCAGTAGGGCTTGGCTTCTGGCTGATCTAACTTATGGTCACTTCTTGTTTTGGCCTCCATTATTTGTAGCAACAGTGTAGTATCTATGTACACTTAGGGCATAATTGTAAGAAAGCGGGGGCGATATAATGGCAGACTTGGAATTCAGAATAACCTCTGCATACATCGTCTTGCTACTTGCGTTGGTCGGCAATGACGTACTTTGCAGCAATGGGATCAGTAGCCGCCGTCCTGCTCTTGTTGCCCCGTGCATGCTGCTAGTTAGTGAATACTTTCAGTCACCACTCACAGACACCTTGAGCTTTCGTGTTTTTAGCCAAGTCGCCGGAACAGAAGCCATCGTCAAATGCCAAGTACATTTCCTATTGATTGCTAAAAAGATATATTGCAGGGCTTGAAGCAAACTAAAGTAACGGCCCGTGGGTACTGGATATCTCCATTCTGTTTGAGGCAAGTGTGGCAGGGAACTCCGAAGGCAAGAAGAAAATGAGCCCCCTCATTTTCTCAATCTTTTCTGCTGTCACTGTCGTCTTGGTACCCGACCAGCAAGAAACGACTCGCATGTTCTGCTTAACGTGCCGCTTGCTTTTTGTTCTCCCTCCAGGGGTGCGATGCTTTCGAGAAAGTTTACTGCGATTGGCCAACGACGTGACGTAGTGGTACAACAGTTCTAGCCACGGTTCTCCGCAGACCATACGAAGCAATCCTGCAGGTGGCCATTGCGAAGGTGCTCGCCGACGCCGGCCGTGAGGGGCGTGAGGGACGCCAGGTTGAGAGACAGGCGAGACGGGACACGGGAACAGTGGTGGGCGAGCTCTTGCTACAGCAGCGCTTGCGACATCCTGAGATTCAGGTTGCGCCGTTGGGCTGGGCTCGAGTCCCAGCATGGCCACAATCCAGAGTTCCCCAATAAGTTGCTTTCGTGACTGTGGCACAAGGTTTTGCCTGCACAGCTCAACACAGGGATTGGTCGTGCTGTTGGTGAAGCGAAACCAAAAAGTCACACTGACACCCCAAACCTCTGAGTTCCACAGTGTCCTGAACCCTCACGGTGCGCCGTGGAGTAGTTGGGGATCAGGTGGAGCAGGCACTGCAGGACGTTGTGCAGGAGTCGGACCCACACAAGCGTCGTCGAGGTGGGACTGGTTGTGGAGCCGGTGTAGAAACCATCTTGGGAACGTGCGTTGCGGTGCGATTCGTGGCTTTCGTTTTAAGTCAACTGTGTAACTCTGTCTTTGAGGCCTCGCAGCAGGGTGGGTAGCGGAGACCTTCGCCAAGTTGGTTGGGAGTACGCCGGGCACTACAGACTCCGGGGTCGCGGCACAGAAATCTTTTGCTTCGATGACCGATTGGCCCACTTGCCACATGCTTAGGCCAGGAACTCCTCGTGGGACCTGCCGGGCGTGCAGCTGAGAGTCTCACGCACCCTTGGTCCCTGTCGCAGAGTAGAGCAGGTTCTTTGTTTGGCAGCTTGTACTGTAGCAGTTTAGTGACTGAGCGGGTAAAGCGCAATGGGTGCGCCGGGTCATGATGGCTCTATGCGGTCGCCAGAAACATTGGTTGTAGTCTTAGTAGCCTCTGCGATCGGACCCAGGTCAATGCTCTGCTCCAGGCGCCTCCCACGGCCTGGGAACATCCACAGGGCAAGGCGGCCACCCTGCTGTCGACAGGACGCAGCTTAACATGTTCAGCGTAGTCCTTCACGATTCTGTCAGCTACAAGTATGGCAGTCTCAAGGTTCTGCACGCTAGAGCCCAGGCTCCACGTTCAGTTTACTAAAGCTGAGGGGTGCATGGAGAATGGTAGGTGGGGGAATCGTTTGTCAGAGATGATGGCATGCTATGGAATGCTAGTGAGTCCCGGAAGTCGGGAAGTTGATCTTTGAGAGGCTGGCGGCTGGGTCGATGAGGCCTTCGCCGCCGGGTGCTCGGAGGAGGGAACCGAAGCTCCGAGGCTCCGAGGCTGCGAGGCTGCGAGGCTGCGAGGCTGCGAGGCTCCGAACTGAAGCGCTTTTGGTTCCCCTTACCCGGGCCCAGGCCTTGACGGACGACTGCTGCCATCTCAAGGAACTTCCATCCAGGCGCTGGAGCCCAAAGCTTTCTGCCATCGTGCTGCGCCTGCTGTCTATTGTATATGCTGCGTAGACTCGCTCGTCCCTCGCTCACCTTGCACTTCCAGGAGCCTTTGTGAAGGGCGCGTGGGGACTGCCTTGCAAAGGCTGAAGTCACTCGGTGGATGGGCTTGGGTGGCCTTTGCCTAGGGTGAACGAATTTCTTTGAACCCAATATGCCAACGCTGCAAAGGGAAGCGTGAAACAAAGTGCAGGGCAGCGTAGGGAGGCTCCAAAGGGAGCCTCAGTGCCAGCACCTTATCGCATCTTATCTTGCTATTCTGCTGCGAGCATGGTGAGCAGATTTTCCCTACTTCACGACTTAGACAATAAGCCCCTGACACTTGGGGCACGTTCTACAGTGATGCTACAGGTTTCACCGGGCCATCGCGGGGTGAGCCCTGACAGTGCCCTACAGCCTACACCCAACCCACATCCACAACGTTCCCTCAAAACGAATTGGCTTCACGAGCTCCCTTCCGAGTTCCCTTCACGGGCCCCGAGCAACTAGTCCCACAGCTGAGTGCGTGCAGCACACCATGCTGACTGTGAGGAAGCGTCGTACTTTGAAGCATTGGTTGACAGCTGCATTGATGCAAAGCATATGTGGTGAACAAGAGAGATCTTGAAGCACCATGATTCAGACTGGGCGACTGTCCCGAGTCGCTCGGCGGGCAGCCTTCGCCCTTCCACCATCTTCTTTTACAAGCAGAGCGATGCGGAAAATTCCTGTAGCAGGCCGGGTTCGGCGGCTATCAGCCTTGAAACCGTGTTTTACATCTGAGATGTTTGAGGTTCATCGCCTGGGTTGGGAAATTTTGGATCTTCCGTGACAATGTCCCAACACCTTCAGGTCTGTTCCAAAGCCTGGGGGGACAATGGTTTGGGCCAAAACCGCTGAATTGTCTCAACATTTTGAGGCCTGGGTTTAGACGTGCTGTACTGTCCCGATAAGCGTCACAAAACCAATAGCTTCGGTACATGGCTAAGCAGGGGCAACCCGAAAATGGCAGGTGCAGGGTTTTGAGACTGCAAACAGCAAAAATGCTGCAATTGAGCTTATGGGGCAGAGCAGCAATCTGTGTCCCCAGACGTCAGTACATTGGGGCTCTACAGCATTTGTTGCTCTGAATCGTCCCACCGATGGACAGTTCGTACCTAGAGACTGAATGAACTTGTCATCAGGTGTGCGGCTCAACAAGTTGGATGTGAGCTTGTGGTCGAGATTTGAAATATCTTGAAAGTTATGTGACAGCTATGTGATAGGACAAGGATTGCAGACAAGCGAAGCTTGTGTCACCGTTCGTCTTCTTGGGACAAGTCGTGGGCGTCGGGCCCTGCCATGTGGTCAGGAAAGCGGGACACTTCGAATGCCTTACTGCCAGCCTTGGGAGATGCCCTCTGGACGGTGGCCGCTGTCGCTGCTCCCAAAGACCTTCGAAGGCTTGCACACGTGTCTCCCGCTGTGAACGCATTGCTCTCTCCCGTGGCGGAAAGAACTGCGCGGATCTCGGAGCTGACTCGCTCCTTAAACTGCCTGCCTGTCCAGTTTGCCTTCCCCTTGGCCAACTTGGGCCAAAAATGGCTCGAGGAGGCTTTGGCGCAGTTCAGCGTGCTGAAACTGTTACGCTGGCGCGAAAAGGCCGGTCAACTGGCAGGCTGGGTCCCCACAGAGGAAGATCGATGGCCCGCGTTGCGTTCGCGGGCAGCATTGCTTGGTGCCATGGCGGCGGTACAGGCGGCTAAGCCAGAAAACCGACTGCTCTTTGCGGCGGTCCTGAGGCTTCAGCCTTGGGAGGGACAAATGCAAGAAACCCAGGAAACACAGGACGCGCTTGTGGAGGAGAGGGAGAGGTCGGAAAGGTCGGAGATCAAGACAGCCCCCTTGGCTTTCGAGTGGGCCGATGGCCCAGCAGCAGACCCTTTGCAGATGGCGCTGCAGCTGCACTTCCTCGGCGACAACGAAGCACGGCTGAATCTGGAGATGATCTCAGGCCAGGAAGTAAAGAATAGAACCGTACTTTTTTCGTACTCGAAGACTTCTAGCGCCCACTGCCAGAGGTGGTTGGTCCGACTGGTCCCAAAGCTGGTCGACGCAAGCTGGCACGCTTGAAGCTGCCGTCACGGTGGTGGTCATGCTGCCAAATGAGAGCCGCCTCCTGCTGGATGCTTGTGGCAGCCTCTTCGCCTTGTCAAAGGGGATCTACCGGGGAGAGGGGGTTTGCGTCTGTCAGAGGGCCTTACTTTTTGACGCCGGGGGGCGGGTGAAGGGGGGAGGGAATGGATGGGGGGTAGTGGGGGTGGGGGGTGTGAGTGGGGGCACATCTCACGCTCCGTGTCGGGCCAGCGCAGTTCGCAGCGTCGCAGTCTTGGCCAAGGCTCCTTGGTGGCCATGCCTCCACTGGAATCGCTGGATGGGATTGGGCAGTCCATGCAGTCCCTCCGCCAACTCCTAGAAAGCGGTCTGCCTGCCGTTGTTTCTTTGGGCGCCCTCCGGTGGGGCTGCTGGGCTGGAACAATTTCCCTGCCCTGAAGATCTTCTGAACAGATGCAATTAACAGGCTGTGTTGGACAGGCGAAGTTCTACTGTAGCCTGTCAAATTCATCTTGAACTGACGGCAACGCGAGGCTACAGTCTGCATCATAAACAGTTCATCTTGCGATGAGATGAGGAGCTTAAGCTGTTTGATGGCGTGTTGTGGCTGCTGAGGCAAAGAAGCTCCGCCTTGGCGTCCCAGAGAACTTCGGCGCATTGAGAGCAAAAGTCCTTTGTAGGGGCTTTTCGATTTGTCGCGCAAGATTGACACACGACATGATCCACTGTACAGATCTGTTTTCCCCGCACACCAGGGACGTCCAGTGCGCTTCCGACAATGACCCATCTGTACAGCTTGAGTTGAGCAGGTGTGGCTGTCCGCAACACCGCCATGCCATCGTTCTGCAAAAAAGCTCGGCTTTCGACAAGGCCAACATACCTTGGCACATCCCGGTGGTGAAAAAGCGGTTTGTTTTGGATTACTGGCACTTCAGATCTACCGCGAGCAGGTGTCATCGCTTCCTTTTGCAAGTGATTCTTTTCTGGCACTCGTGGATGAGCTCGATGCTTTTTCAACGAGACGCTTCAAGGAGTCCCGACTAGTGATAGAGTGTTTTCAGACATTGCTCACATCACAAAAGCACATGCTCGACTATTTCCGTTGTTCTGGCACGCTCGGCGAATCATGGAGATGACTGGAGATGTGTTTTTTCACATCGACGACTTGGGGCCGCAAGGCCGTAGAACAGGTAGTTAGTGAGGCCAGGCGATGTTGGCGAGCAACCCTCACGCAGCTTAGACACAGCACACTACCAGCCTTGAGCAGCTGCACCATGTCTTGATGGATTGCATCCCTGAGGACGGGGTGGGTGCATTACAAAACAGGATTATCGTCGTTATCCTGCCCGTTTTGGCTGTAAAGGCCCCGAACCATCGAACCATCAGCCACGAGGTTATCAACAAACGCGAGGTGCTGAAAAGGCGAGCTGAGGCCCCAGAGGCATCTCTTGTCGCAGTCCTTCTTGTGATCTCCTTAGCGCTGCCTCTCTGTGTACGCTGAGTTTACACATCCCATGGGGGGCATTTGATGAGCTTTTTGTATCAAGAGACCGAGCTTCTCCGCAAAGCCCGCTTGATCTCTCATGATCTCTCCCCTGCAGGACAGCCTTCCTCAAGGGTCTTGCGAGGCTCTGGATCGCGGAGCGCCGTCAGACGAAACCTGGCAGAATTCACAGAGATTCAAAGGTGTTCGGGGTGTTCGGGGGGACCTTCGCGTGGCGATGTGTGGCAGCCTAGCGACGCATCTTTCCAGTCCTTGCGTTTCAGCCCGAAGTGGACCCCGCAACGAAGCACCGTCAAATCTCCGCACTTGCTGCGGGATCGTGTCGGATCGTGAGGATGCGAGCTCCGAGCTCTCCTCTGCGGCGTCCCTGAGTCGGCAGTGCACGGAGTTCAGCGATGTCGCGGCCCTGGAGACTTGGCGAATGTAGGGCCATTTAGGGCCATTTAGGGCTTTTTTTTAAAGGGTTTTGCCATTTTTTGTGTGTGCGAAGGCTGAGCAGCTCTTCAAGGATCTTTGCAGCTGCCTCGTAAAAGTCTCTCAGCACCTCTCACAGGACTTGATGTCGCGGCAGTTCACCGATTTTGCCACAAGGTGGGCAGGGTTCGTAAACGATCGTGATTGGTGGTCATTCGTCCCAAAGTGCTCCAGAAGACCTTCTGTTTTTTTTCTGAGGCAAGGCGATTTCTGGGTGCGCAAGTGCTCCGAGCCCGCCATCAGCCACCAAAGGCAAACTACCCAGGACCCGAGACAAGGCCGCTTGGCCTTCGCATGGCGTGAGAGCTACAAAGGCCTACGATTTCCTGGCGTCCTTTTCGTACTAGGGGGGGTTTAGCCAGTGTGCCTGTTGCGTCCGTTTATGATCATTGCTGATGCTTGTGGGCTTGGTGCCAGAGCTGCACTTCGCAGGTCAGTTCGGCCGACAGAGCTCGTGCCCACCTCTTAGTCGCCCTCAGGCGGGGCCTTCCAGACACTGAAGGTAGGCAATGGTAGGCCCGAGAGTAGGCTAGGGTCCAGTTCATGATCCTGTGTGGTAGCCTTGGCAGATGGCATTTGACGAGCTTGACCTTGCGAACCTGGTGGATCCCATCCGCGAGGAGTCGCAGGAAGAGACCCATGAGGAGCTTTCAGAGGAGGGTTTTTCGAGCTTTGGTTTTGGGTGTTTGCGGTTCCCACGGCAGCAGCAGGAGGACCGGGATGACCTGATATCCAAAGCGATCTGCGCAGCTGTGGCCGAATGTGACTTCAGCGTCGCACGGCTAGAATATGCCGTCAACAAGGGACTCTTCTTGAACGTTTGTGGGCATGGCGACACTGGGAGCATTCTTGAACAATAGACAATAGACTTAGCCTTCGGATGTGGATGCGGCGTCCCCGCACATCCTGCAACTATCGCAACAGGACATACCAGAATTCAGCAATAATATGCAATGAGCATGCAAGAACATGCCATAGTGTTCAGAAAGCAGCACGACATGTCGTCCATCGTCACGGCCAGGGGGTTTGCGGTCTGTGTCGAGTTGAGACAAAAAGCTTCCACTCAAAGCCCAGTTACCACCACCCGAGGTCGCGATTGCAGACCCGACGGGGTTAGACTTCGAGATTATTGAGCCTCGGATGAAAACCCCGGAGTCAAGGGCCTTAACATCCCCAAGAACGGTCTTAAGAACTTCATCGGGTGCGAACCTGCTCTGAGTTGTGCTAGGGAACAGTGTCCTCCGAGCACGGAGTGGGCTTTCCTGAAGGCTGCCAGCATGGACATCCTTAGCTTCAAACTCCCCGTGACTAAGGCGGTCTCCGAAGAGTTTCAGCGACTCACGGGGTACTTGCCAGAGGAGTCGGTGGGTGACGCGGGTGCACGTGACCATCACATGACAGATTGCCGTGGCTCTGTATCTGACGCTAGACATACCGCAATGCACGTGGCATTCATCAATGTAAACCATCCAAAGCCTCAAAGCTTCCAATGCATCCAAGCATCCCTCAACTCTGAACCCGCTCAATGAACCCTCAAAAGTCCTCTCCAAGCATTCCATAGATTTCTCTAGTTTAACTAGTTTGTGCAGCCTACAAGAGCTGACGTTTCAGGCGAGAACTGCCGCTTCCTCAGCGAAGGCTGCCCCCAACATGCCGGGCCGGCGCTGCGCGAGGCCTGCGAGACCGGGGCGCGCCTTGGAAGAAGGTTTGGAAGGTTTAAGAGCGGGCCTTCAGAATCTTTCCATGGGTTTACAGATGTTCAGGCAGATCTGTGGGTCGACCGATCTGCATCTGAAGCCCAGACAAATCTGAGGATCCTGTGGAGGAAATTTGGAGTTCAGGGGATAGAAGAGGCCTCGCCTCGCCTTCTTAAGTGTATGAAGTGTATGGTCTAAGAAGGGCGTGATCCGAGCCGAGGCCGTTCACCTCGATCCTGGTGAACCGCAGGAAATCAGGTCCCTGTTCTTTCCCCTGGGTGTTGCAATGTGTTCAAGGGGGTTTTCCTGCCAGTGTCCCCTTGGCGATGCAACTTCCGGGTTCTGCAAGTATAGCGACTATAACGTCGCAGCCCTTTGCAATGGAAGCTGTGTCTGGTTTTGAGTGGGTTGAGTGTTTTTGCGCTTTTGTTTGCGCTTGTGGTGCCGGGCCAGGTGAGTTCTTTCTCAACCTCCTGTCGATACGCGGCCTCGTGCTGGCATCTGACAGTGCTGGCAAGGCAGGAAGGATCAATGAACCAATGACAATCAATGACTGTGAAATTCCCTTGATGCTCCAGGACATCTGGATACTTGTAGCTGTGCAGCGTGATGTGTCGCTGCTGCCCGTCGCAAACTTGCCGAGCAACGAAGCGTCGATGCTCAAGGCCGAATAGTGGAGGGGGGGGGCGAGTAGCGCCGCTTGCGACTCCTAGCTTGTCACATGCTAGTCCGTGCTAGTCACTTAGTCCAACTGCTGATGTGGGTGGGGCGTGGCCATTGCCCGTGGCTCACAGGTGGCGAGTCGCATAAATCGGCGGCTCTTCAAGTATGCCACAGAGCTGGGCCTCCTGGCCGAGATACTCAGAGCATTCTCAAGAAGCTGCAACAGACTCGCAGGCTATCGCAGGCTCCAATCTGATTACTGGCTCCGACAGTGACAAGTGGGCTTCGAACTGCAAGCGATAAGAGAGCTGCAGCGAGTGCAAAGTCTCAGAACTGCCTTGTGATGTGATTTTGATGTGTGATTTGATGGTGTCATTTCATGTGTGCGATGTGCCCAGCGCCCACTGTTGTGCTGTCCAAGGCATTGCAAGTTTAATTCAGTCCAAAGCAAGAGGAGGCCTTCGGGCGTGCCGGGGAGGGGGGGGTGGTAGAGTCTGTGCCAAGAGCAATACACCATTCTTGCACCTGCCGGCTACAAACTCTTTCTGTGTATATCTGTTAGTATAACTCGCTCACTTTGCCGAGTGCTTTGTGTCGTGTTTGAGTTTGTCTGTGGATGTATGGTTTGCTTGATCTTGGCAGTCACCAATGGCGTCTCCAGCAAGAATGGCGACTACAGCAAGTGGGCCGGGGCCACAAAGTCTGTAGTTTCATACCATCGAGCCCACGAGACGGCGATGTAGGCCGAAACGTTGTTGGCCATTGTTGGCTGCGTGAGGCCGGTATGCATCTGCTTGCCGAAGTCACTTGGAAAGGCGGTGCACAGACGGGGCTCCGCAGCTGCAAGCAGCTTCTTGGAAGTGTCTTTGCGATTCGTGGGATGAGCGATGTCACCCGGAAATGCGGACCCGAACTGCTCGAGGTTTCGGGCCTTGCAGTAGCTGGCGTGTCCTGCAGTGAAAGCAGGGGTGAGCAGTAGATACCAGTATTGCTGTTGGGCTCTGAGTTTTCGGAATGCACCAGCAAGCCCTCCCGCTTGCTTGCTTCTGTACACTCTGGGGCTCCGTCGGACTCCATAGGGCACCGTAGGGCTCCAGGTGAAGGTGATTAAGGGAATCGAAATGAGCGAAGCGCTTTCTTGCGTGTGGCTTGAGTGTGCCAATCAGCAGAACAGTGGAGATTTGGTTCCGGCCCCCCCCCCCCCCCCCCCCCCCCCCCCCCGCCCCAGAGAGGGGTCTCCTTGAAGAGCCTTGGGGCGGCCTTAGGCCGTGGCCTTCACTCGAATGATGGGCCGCGGCTTTCCAGGGTGCTTACCTCGTGTTGCGGGCAAAGCCACACGGTGTGCCTTCGTGAGAGATGCTGGGGACGCTTTGGCCGGAGGCTCTGGGACTGATTTCCGAGATCCAAGCTGCCAAGCTCCGCGTGCGCGTGGTCAACTACAACTCAGTCATCAGCAACTTTGCCGCAGGAGCTCTGTGGACCGAGGCGCTGTTCCTGGTGGCGCAGCTGTCTCAAAAGAGCATTGGGGGGAGTTGCATCACTTTCAACACTGCAGCCAATGCCTGTGGTCGGGCACAGCACTGGCATTTCGCACAGGTGGTCTTGGCTACGCTGGTTGATAGCGGCCTCCGAAGCAGCTTGAGCTCTTTCAACACGCAAACTCAAGCTCACAGCAAGGGCATGCAGTGGCAGCATGCCGTTTTCTCCTTGGAAGAATTAACACACAAGGCCATGCTGGCCGAGCCGCAGACACTGAACACCGCCATCGGTGCTTGTGGGAGTGCCTGTGGCGCCTGGGAGGCTGCGGTAAGCATTCTGGGGTCACAGCCTTGCGCTCTCTGCGCTCCCTACGCCGACGTCTTTACGTACTCAGCCTGCCTGTCATGTGTCAGCACGGGCCATTCGACCTGGGTGCACGCGGTCAGTCTTCTTCAGGACATGTGCGCTGCATCGATTCGCTGGAATGTGGTGTGTCAGGGTGCAGCCATCACATCGATGGAACGCGGGCAGCAGTGGCACGTAGCCTTGCAGCTACTGCGCGGCTTCGATGCGGGATCCCTGCAAGTCAATCAGATCGTCCTGAACGCGGCGGTCACTGCCTGCGCACAAGGGGCACAGTGGCGGCGCAGCCTGGATTTGCTTGTGGAGCTGGAGGGCCGCAAGCTGCGGAAGGACATGGTGACTTGCAATGCAGCGGTGGCGGCCTGCGCCCGATGCAGGCAGTGGCAGCGTGCCTTGAAGCTCCTGGAAGAAGTCTCGGAGGAGAGGCTGCAGAGAAACGCCATGACAAATACATTGGCAGTTGCTGCCTGCAGCGGAGCTTCTTTGTGGGAAGAAGCCATGGTCTTGCTAAGAAGCAGTCAGGCAAGCACCGCTGGTGTGGACCCTGTGACGTTTACGGCAGGCATCGACGCAAGTGCACAGGGCGAGCAGTGGGAGCGGGCCTTGGGCCTGCGAGAAGCCTTGGGGTCTGCCGCCAACGTGCTAAGCCACGGTGCTGCCGTCAGCGCTTGTGAGGGTGGGGGCCGCTGGTGGCCTGCGTTGGCCTTGCTTGCACACATGCAGTACAGCGTGGCTCAGGTGAATGCCGTGATCTACAACGCGGCCATCAGCACCTGTGAAAAAGCCCAGCAGTGGCGGCGTTCCCTGCTTCTTGTCGAGCAGATGCGCAACTCCTGCCTGCCGGACCTGGTCACCTACAATGCAGTCCTTGCCGCCTTGGCCCAAAGGAAGGCTCCAAAGGCTACTTCCGTCCTCTCGCTGCTTCGGCAACTCCACGCTGATGCCTTGCAGTGCAACTTGATCACATGGAATGCGGCGATCACAGCCTGTGGGGGCCAGTGGCCAGCTGCCCTTGAACTCCTCAAATCGCTTGGAAGGGCTCTTCTTCCGAACGTGATCACGTACGCTGAAGCAGTCAGGTCATTGACCTTGGGCGGACAGCCACAAATTTCCTGGCTTTTGGTGGCAGCTACGACAAGGGCCTTGCAGGACATTGAGAGTGTCGTCATTCCTTGAGCCAGCTGTATTGACTCCACAACATGGTTCAACCCGAAGCGCAGCATCGCACCAGGGTCACAGGGATTGCCGAAGCAAAGCCCGTTTTCTTGTGCGTGCGAGGGTTAGCAAGGCAAGAGGCTCACATGTCTCACCGCATAGTCCCAGTCAACATGCCGCACCTTCTAAGATCGACCTGAGGAAAACAAGCCCGTGCCGTCATGCTCTCGCCTTCACGTAGACAGTTCTGTGAGGCAGTCTCCGGTTGACGTCCTGAAGCCACCCGGCATTGAAGTTGGACACAGGCAACTTCTCCCTGGAGCACTGCTCTCTTCTGAAAATGCTGCTGGCTTTGCATGGCTTTGCCTTGTGGTCAACGTTGTCCAGATCCCAGTTGTCATAAGGTCCCTTCCAGAAGACTTCCTTTTCCTATGTGGACCACTGGGCAGCGAGGAACCTGAGGCACGGAGTTGTTGCCTCAGGGCCCTGTGGCGGATATTTGTACTGAAACGATGCGAGGGTCTCGCAAGCAAACCCCAACAGTGAAGAAAGACAATTTCAGTGCAACTCTTGGCTGGGTCGAGGTGTCCCAGCAGGGTGCAGAGCGGAATCCGAAGCCGAAGATCCGTTCGCCGCGCTGGCCAATGGTCTTTGCGGGCTCCATCGTGCCTGGCTGCAAGAAGTCCCCAAAAGGATCGATGGAAGGATCGATTAGGAAATACCGATGGAAGGGATACTGAGGGACACTGAGATGCCTCTGAAGAGATGTGCAGATCAAGTGGCGCTCAGCCATGCTCAGCGCAGCTGAGGCTCTCATGCTGCTACTTCTTCTCCGGCACGCGCGACGAAGTGGGCATCGCTAAACGAGAAGAGAAAAAAAACATTTGCGTGTGGGGAAGACATGCTGGGGGGCCATCTGTGGCCATGTGGGGCCAACATTCTCTGCACCCCTCTTCTTACACCTTGTTGCCTCTTCTTACATTCCTTCGTCCCCCAGGAGAGGAACGCCTAGGAGAGCACCTTCTCGGCACGCTGTAGTAGGCTAGAGGAGAACCTTTCTTGATGCCGAGACAAATTTTCACCGACATCACGCCTGGCTCGAAAAGGCATGAAGAGGCATTCGTCTCGCTTGCCAACTGGCTGTAGCCGCTTGGGCCATGCGCTTTGCGGAGCTGGCACAGGCGAACGTGCGCCCCGACGTCATCTTGCTGGGTGACGGTGCCCTGACGTGCAAGGCCTTGCGCCGTGTAGCCGCGGTGAGCTGTGTCCATAATGAATAGGAGGGTGGCACAAATTGTCTCCCCGCTTCGTGTAGAATGGACATCTGCCAGAGCGTATATCGCGGCCCGCGAAAGGCCTGGACATTTTCTCATGTCATGCTATGTCATGTTCCGGGGTTGTTGTTGAACCGGATGAACGTAGGTCCTGCGAAAGTTCGCGAAAGTATCCGCGAAAGACTTTGCACTTTCGGCGGCGAAGGGTGTTGGTTTCCGCGCGGGGAACACAATCATCAGGTGTTAAGTCGAAGGTCGGTGCAGGTCGATACAGGCCGTAAGAGTTTTTGGCCCCCGCAAGTGTTCCCTGTGGCTAAGGCCTCACAGAGCACGAGGCAGGCCTTGCCAAGCTGGACGCGCAGGTGAACTACACACCGACGCCTACGTCGACGGAGTGTCCCGAGGAGGAGCTCCTGGACCTGGGCAGCTTCGAGGAAGACGAAGCCGAGGAAGCCGAGGAAGCCGAGGAAGGCGAGGAAGGCGAAGGCGAGGAGGAAGAGGAAGCGGACCGGCAGGGCACAGCCCCGGTGATCAGCAGCGCCAGCTTTCTTCGGCGCCAGCGGCTTCAAGAGGAGCGCCGACAGCTGGTGCACGAATTCCTGGCGAAGCAGGGCTTCCAGGAGGTCAACACGCCCAAGTCGGTCTGCACCGCGTCCTTCTTCAGCAAGGAGGCCATCTACCCCATCCACCGCGCGGCGCAGCTGGGAACCTTGGCGCTATTGCAGTAGCACGGCCATGCACGACAGTTGATCATGATGCGGCTTGCCCGGCGGTTGCCCACGCCAGTTTCTTAGCGACGCCCCGCCTGGAATTCGAGGTCACCACGGCATGGTCCGCGAGCTGCTGCGGCCCCGAAGTACGAACATCCCGCGGGAGGACAGCGTACGACCTCGCTGCCCAAGAGAACAAGTTCAACTCGCACGGCATGGTCGCTAGGCCCGCAAAGCGCCAGAAAAGCAGAGCTCACAGTTTTGGTTCAGCCCAGCTCTTAGGTCCTCGATCTGCTCTCCGGGAAGTGGAACGTCATGTCCTTGCGTGATCTGATGGTGAGCCTCGGCCGCGAGGGAAAAGAGAAACCCACTAACTATCCATAAAGTAGTCCCCACAAAGTGTCCTGCCCCACCCCAGAGAATCACGCATGCAGTGCCCATCAACTTGGCTAGTTTTTAGGGTGGAGATGTTCGAAGTATTATCGAGTCTTTGTTCTCTGCACCTCCCTCTTGCTCTCTCTTGCTGAGTCTTTGTTCAGGTAAGCCTCAGCAAGGCTGACGATCAGAAGCCCCAAGGACCGCCGCCGGCTTTTCTTTTCGTGGCAGCGGAGTGCTGACCAGCTGAGGACCCATATGCACCAGCGCTTCTAAGAAGCGTTGAACTTTTTCACCGCATCGCTCTGACGGCTGAAAGTTTCGGGCATCCAGCTAAGCGCTGGTGTACTTTGCTGCACAAATGAGTATGCTCCGCACTTTCGCTGCAGTAGCTGTCCAAAATCCTTTCATGGGCTTCTCACATGCAAAGCTGGCATCCACGATCCTTGAGCCAAAGTTTTGGGGGGGCAACGCGACGTTGTTGGGAGGCATTGTAATGAACGCAGAATGGCAAACCACATGTGACTGCCCTGGAACAGCTCTGCGCGCCGTTGAATTGATGTGATGCTGGCTTGTGCACACGGATAAAGTAAAGACGGACAGGAGAAGACAACGTTGCCACAATGCCAACAGCACACGAAGTTAGTCTTTGGATTTGGATGCAAACAAGAATTGACATCAATGTCAGGAGATTTTTAGAGTTCGCGTACATAATATACGCGTCCTCCTGTGAAAGCACTCTGCTTCAGCTGCTCATTCAGAGCCGTGGGGCTGTTCAGGCACGACTTCAGTGCCTGCACTGCTGACTCCAGCAAAACGACTCGCAACTTCACATCACAACTCTTTGGAGTGTTATACCCTTAGGAGAAAGGCTTCGGGTCCAGCAGGACAGTACTCCTTTGAACTTTAATGTTAGTTCGGCATGCGAAAGGCATGCCGGTGTTCATTTTTTGGCCGGCAAGCTTGAGACCTGCACGACTTGGCCCATCAATTGTTTGTTGCTGCAGGCTCTGAGGCCGTTTCCCTGGGGAAGCGGATGAGGGGTGTTCAGCTTGGAAGCTGTTGAAATGGCTGATAATGGCTGGCTTTGACTTGTCTTGTGCTAGATGATGCTCTGCACTCCGGTGTCCCCTCGTTCCCCCGAACCAGGATAAACACATGCATCCTTCTGCAAGACGGAGGCTAGGAGAACCCTTCGTGATGTGAGACCAGCAGCTCCGACGTCATGCCTGGCTCGAAAGGCATTCTTCTTGCTTGCCACCCAGTGCCTGTAGCCGCTTGGGCCATGCGCTTTGCGGAGCTGGCACAGGCGAACGTGCGCCCCGACGTCATCTTGCTGGGTGACGGTGCCCTGACATGAAAGGCCTTGCGCCTTGTACCCCCGGTTCAGTGTCCATAACGACTAGGAGGGTTGCACAATTGTCGTTCCCAAAACGGACATCTCCCAGCGCGTATGTCATGGTCCGCAAAAGGCCTGGATTTTTCCTCACGCTATGCTTCGAAGAAGCCACACAAGACTTGACACTTTCGGCCACGAAGAATGTCAAATTCTGGGACAACCATCAAGTGTTATTTGCAGATGCTTGCTCGCACCACCTCGGCAGCCAGACCGGCTCAAGCCACATGGCGTGCATGTCCAGTGGGTCAAGGAAGAGACACCGGAGAGCGGCCGACGCGTAAACCCGAAACCGTGACTGAACCCACAGCCCAGGCGGTGCAAACCCTTTCTTGTGCTCTTGACCGTGTTCGTGGGCTTGTTTGTGGGCTTCCGCGTGAAGCTTAGGTGGGGTGGGAGGCGCCAAAAGGGCAAGATATTTTTATCGAAGGCAGGGTTCTCCGAATTCTCCCACCCGCGAACAGGAGGGACTTTTCCGCAGGGGGGGTTCCAAGAGAGAGCTTCCAAAGAAATTCTCTCCGACAGGTTTCGGGGGCTGTTCAGGTGTTCCAGCCAAACATGCCAAGCAGCTTTTCAACGGTTTTGCTTGCTCTGTGGGACCCGCCCACACACTGCCCGTAAGCACATTTGGCAGCGCTCACGGAAAAGCGGTTGATGCGTTGGTGTGTGAGACCGGAGGCCGAGGGTAATTTGTAGTAGGCCGACGCAGGTCGTAAAAAAGCACGTGCAGCAATACTTGAAAGGTGGGAGAAAAAGCGGAGCATGTGGGCTTAAAGCGGAAAAACATAAGCACACACGCATGGGTAATATACCGACAACGACGATAACATCGGTGAAGCCATGTTTTGTTTGTTCTCTTGGTATTTCTAGGTTTTGCCTTCCCCATAGCTAAGGCCGCACGGTGCACGAGGCAGGCCTTGCCAAGCTGGACACGCAGGTGAACTACACACCGACGCCTACGTCCTCGACGGAGTGTCCCGAGGAGGAGCTCCTGGACCTGGGCAGCTTCGAGGAAGACGAAGCCGAGGAAGCCGAGGAAGCCGAGGAAGGCGAGGAAGGCGAAGGCGAGGAGGAAGAGGAAGCGGACCGGCAGGGCACAGCCCCGGTGATCAGCAGCGCCAGCTTTCTTCGGCGCCAGCGGCTTCAAGAGGAGCGCCGACAGCTGGTGCACGAATTCCTGGCGAAGCAGGGCTTCCAGGAGGTCAACACGCCCAAGTCGGTCTGCACCGCGTCCTTCTTCAGCAAGGAGACCATCTACCCCATCCACCGCGCGGCGCAGCTGGGAACCTTGGCGCTATTGCAGTAGCACGGCCATGCACGACAGTTGATCATGATGCGGCTTGCCCGGCGGTTGCCCACGCCAGTTTCTCAGCGACGCCCCGCCTGGAATTCGAGGTCACCACCGCATGGTCCGCGAGCTGCTGCGGCTGGGTGCCGACCCCGAAGTGAGAACATCCCGCGGGAGGACAGCGTACGACCTCGCTGCCCAAGAGAACAAGTTCAACTCGCACGGCATGGTCGCTAGGCCCGCAAAGCGCCAGAAAAGCAGAGCTCACAGTTTTGGTTCAGCCCAGCTCTTAGGTCCTCGATCTGCTCTCTGGGAAGTGGAACGTCATGTCCTTGCGTGATCTGATGGTGAGCCTCGGCCGCGAGGGAAAAGAGAAACCCACTAACTATCCTAAAGTAGTCCCCACAAAGTGTCCTGCCCCACCCCAGAGAATCACGCATGCAGTGCCCATCAACTTGGCTAGTTTTTAGGGTGGAGATGTTCGAAGTATTATCGAGTCTTTGTTCTCTGCACCTCCCTCTTGCTCTCTCTTGCTGAGTCTTTGTTCAGGTAAGCCTCAGCAAGGCTGACGATCAGAAGCCCCAAGGACCGCCGCCGGCTTTTCTTTTCGTGGCAGCGGAGTGCTGACCAGCTGAGGACCCATATGCACCAGCGCTTCTAAGAAGCGTTGAACTTTTTCACCGCATCGCTCTCACGGCTGAAAGTTTCGGGCATCCAGCTAAGCGCTGGTGTACTTTGCTGCACAAATGAGTATGCTCCGCACTTTCGCTGCAGTAGCTGTCCAAAATCCTTTCATGGGCTTCTCACATGCAAAGCTGGCATCCACGATCCTTGAGCCAAAGTTTTTTGGGGGGGGGGTACGCGACGTTGTTGGGAGGCATTGTAATGAACGCAGAATGACAAACCACATGTGACTGCCCTGGAACAGGTTCAATTGATGTGATGCTGGCTTGTGCACACGGATAAGGTAAAGACGGACAGGAGAAGACAACGTTGTCACACTGCCAGCAGCACACGAAGTTAGTCTTCTGATTTGGATGCAAACAAGAACTGGCATCCCTGTCAGGAGATTTAGAGTTTGCGTACATAATATACGCGACCTCCTGTGAAAGCGCGTTGCTTCAGCTGCTCATTCTGAGCTGTGGGGCTGTTCAGGCGCGACTTCAGTGCGTGCACTGCTGACCGGCATGCGAAAGGCATGCCGGTGTTCATTTTTTGGCCGGCAAGCTTGAGACCTGCACGACTTGGCCCATCAATTGTTTGTTGCTGCAGGCTCTGAGGCCGTTTCCCTGGGGAAGCGGATGAGGGGTGTTCAGCTTGGAAGCTGTTGAAATGGCTGATAATGGCTGGCTTTGACTTGTCTTGTGCTAGATGATGCTCTGCACTCCGGTGTCCCCTCGTTCCCCCGAACCAGGATAAACACATGCATCCTTCTGCAAGACGGAGGCTAGGAGAACCCTTCGTGATGTGAGACCAGCAGCTCCGACGTCATGCCTGGCTCGAAAGGCATTCTTCTTGCTTGCCACCAAGTGGCTGTAGCCGCTTGGGCCATGCGCTTTGCGGAGCTGGCGCAGGCGAACGTGCGCCCCGACGTCATCTTGCTGGGTGACGGTGCCCTGACGTGAAAGGCCTTGCGCCGTGCAGCCCCGGTGCTGTGTCCATAACGAATGGGAATGACTGGGAGGGTGGCACGATTGTCTTTCCCGGCTTCGTGTAAAATGGACATCTGCCAGTGCGTCTCCAGCGGCCCGCGAAAGGCCAATTTTTCTGACTTTACTCTCCGATGTAGCCACAAAAGACTTGACCCTTTCGGCGTCGAACAATGTCAACTTCTGGGACAACCATCAGGTGTTAATAGTAGGCCGACCCAGGCCGTAAAACAGCGCGTGCAGACATACTTGAAAGGTGGGAGAAAGAGCGGAGCAGGTGGGCTTCACTGCGTAAAAGAGGTACGAAAATGTGGTTGGCTCAATGAACATGCGCCGATAACATCGTTGAAACCGTGCCTCGCTAAGGCCTCACGGTGCACGAGGCAGGCCTTGCCAAGCTGGACACGCAGGTGAACTACACACCAACGCCTACGTCGACGGTGTGTCCCGAGGAGGAGCTCCTGGACCTGGAGGAAGCCGAGGAAGGCGAGGAAGGCGAGGAAGGCGAAGGCGAGGAGGAAGAGGAAGCGGACCGGCAGGGCACAGCCCCGGTGATCAGCAGCGCCAGCTTTCTTCGGCGCCAGCGGCTTCAAGAGGAGCGCCGACAGCTGGTGCACGAATTCCTGGCGAAGCAGGGCTTCCAGGAGGTCAACACGCCCAAGTCGGTCTGCACCGCGTCCTTCTTCAGCAAGGAGACCATCTACCCCATCCACCGCGCGGCGCAGCTGGGAACCTTGGCGCTATTGCAGTAGCACGGCCATGCACGACAGTTGATCATGATGCGGCTTGCCCGGCGGTTGCCCACGCCAGTTTCTCAGCGACGCCCCGCCTGGAATTCGAGGTCACCACCGCATGGTCCGCGAGCTGCTGCGGCTGGGTGCCGACCCCGAAGTACGAACATCCCGCGGGAGGACAGCGTACGACCTCGCTGCCCAAGAGAGCAAGTTCAACTCGCACGGCATGGTCGCTAGGCCCGCAAAGCGCCAGAAAAGCAGAGCTCACAGTTTTGGTTCAGCCCAGCTCTTAGGTCCTCGATCTGCTCTCCGGGAAGTGGAACGTCATGTCCTTGCGTGATCTGAGAGCCTCGTCCCAACAGGGCCCGCTGATGCCCGAGAATTGGAAAAAACATATTGGCTTGTATTAGAAGCTACTGGGAAGATTCTGGGGAAGTTATAGGAAGTTGGTGCGGCAAGTGCTGCACTTGGAAAACACGGAGCCCTTTGCACGCGTCTAAGGATCAGATGACCCTTTCACCAGGTGAGTCCAGCTGCGCTGCTGGTGTTTCATTTTCCGGCAACGTCTTAAGCAGTGCTCATGACTTGTTTCGCATGTGAGTTGAGCTCACGGCTTGCAGGGTTACAAATATGAGCCTGAATCAAACTCATCCATTTTTTGAGATTGTCTACTTGGAACTTGGAACACCCCAACCTGAAGCCGTTGGTTGCTCCAGGGGTACTCTCTCGGACCTGGTCTTGGTCTGGGGGGTGGGTACTGTTGAGAGTCTCCTCAGGATTCTCTGCAGGTGGGCACTGTCTGCGAGATTGCGGGGCTTCGCAAGCATACATTCTCTGAGGGCTCCAGGGGTTTCTCTGCAGATTTTTTTGGGGGCGACGGTGCTCCAGGGGTGCCTTGTTCTCGGAGCCTCGCGCTCAGTCAGCCCTTTCCCACTCATAGTCCCATTGGCAGTCTGGGTCTCCATCGCCATCCTGGTCCAGGTGTACAACTTTTGTCGCAAGGTGGATCCTGGTCGGAATCACTTCAGAAGTATTCAGAACTAGGCTGCACAAGCAAGCCTAAAGACGCTGGACCTTGTGTTCACGTCGGCTGCTGTTGCTAAGGGGGGTTTGATTCAGGTCAGAGGTTCACATAAACACATGGAGGCCAAACAGTGCCTTTGCTTTTAGTCAAACTGGTAAGGGCATCCAGAATCGAAAGATTGAAGCAGAATTGGTCAGAAACTGCAGGGTGGCGGGGCGAGGGGGGCGGGGTGGAGGGGTTGAGCAAAGGGCTTTCAGCAGGAGGAAAATGGCGGTTGGGGGTTAGAACAAATAGGAGGGTCAACGAATACTTTGGAAGGTCACGGTTCCCTCCTGTATCCATAAATGTAGTTCTTGTGAGTTTAGGTATTTTCCTTTAGGAACTCAAGTGTATTGATTGGGTGTCCGTATAGGGACACCAACCATAAGAACCCTACACAATGTGCAGGTTGCCATTAAGAAAGCTGACCTGTGGCTCAACGCACGATGACTTGTCCAGCTTGGGACATGTGTAGCATTCGGCTGTCCAGGCACTCTCGCACTGAAGGAGTATCGGCATGCTCTGTGACGGGCAACTTTAAGCAACCAAGTGCGACTGTACTGGTACTGTATTCCCAAATTCCATGACCGGGCGACGCATTTGACTGCCGATGACTGCTCCATTGGTGCCATGAGCTGGCTATGCACAGCACTACTCTCATCTGAAATGTCCAAACAAGCCTAGTGCTCGTATAGCCAGCGGCAGATGCAACGCTGCAATGCAGCATGCTGGACTGTCCTTCCCCAACTTTACTGCAATGTTTGTCTAGAGGCAGAAGCCCAGACACACCTGAAGCCGATAGTCAACCTTAACATAGGGTGCGCTCTTGCAGTCGGATAAGGATCTGACTTCGCGCAGGCCTCTACAGTGCGCAGCTTACAGCTCTTGCTAGCTAAGCTGCTGTTTTTGAATGCCGGCTTCCGTGAAGGAGACTTGTTTTACAGTTTTTGCACGAGCCGGCAGACGCTGCACGTAGTTAGCTTTGAACTTTGGTGGCCTTTTTCTCGTCAGTTGTTTAAGTTCTTCTCGGATGCGCAAGAACATATAGTGCGGTGGAAGCATCTTGGTTCATGCAGTTCTTCTGGAAGGTTCGAGCATCTGAAGAATATTGGCGCAGGCCCCTACTCCATATTTGCCAGCACAATTTCAACTTCAAACCCAAGCTGGCGTTGGACGGTCCGGATCGGCTGAGTGTCAGGTGGACGAGCACTTGCTATCCAACCTTATTGGATATCGGAAAGTTTGGTGTTGCAGCTTCCTTGGTCAAGGCTGGTTCAATGTGTTCCCTGGCACGTGCCACTCAGTTGTATCTGTCACTTGCCGGGATGCAGACGCATGGTCGTGAAGGCCGCCTGCACAAGTCATGTAGGTGGATTATGAGGTATATGCGGCATTGATCCCTACGGCAGCGGTGAACATGCTGACCCGTCGCCTCCAGATCATGAGTTGGCATATGCGCCAAAGTTAGGATCAGTTGCAGTGCCCATGATGCAGCTCTGTGGCCCAGATATTCAGCTTTGGCCATGAGCCCTTCCCAAGCGCCGCAGAGCGTTGCAGCGGCTGGAGATGTGGCATGGACCCAAGTGACCCCAAGTTTGACGAGAGGGGGAATGTGCAGGTAACGGGTCAGATGTGCCTTGAGTCCGCTCGCCCAATCAGATCACCCATTCAGATCAAGCCTGCATTTGAGTGAGCTCATCCGTTTGGCACGTTTCGGATCCCGGACAGCACTAGTCTTGAATGCTTCAGCCATGGATGGGCTTTTAGTTATGTGATTCAGGCTGCAGGAAGTGTGGCAACGTGTGGCTCTCTGCTCTCTGGGGCGTTAAGCTTGGTACAGTTGGTGTGAAGTGCAGCGTGTCAGTGCATGTCACGTCGTTGCCGGAAAGCACTGCTAACTGGAGAGGAGCCTGAGAAGGCTAGTGGCAAGAAATTCGGGTTTCGGTCTAGGGGGTTTGCTCCTCTTTTCTTGCGGCAGTCGCAGGTCCCTGCTTCCGTTCTTCGGGTTTAGGGTTTAGGGTTTAGGTCTTCCCAATGACTTGAAGAAAAGTGGGATGTATAACAGAACTCAAGATCATAAGTTATTCTTCGGTTTCGGTGCTTAGGGCTCCGGGTTCCGGGGGCCGACATCTGGGTGGGGCAAATCCCATAAACTCTTGGGTTCTAAGGGGTTTGCCCTAGCCAGATTTCGGCCCCGATTCCCGAGCCCTAAGCACCGAAACCGAAGAGAATATGATAATCTTGAGTTCCGCTATTTTTCCGACGTTCTTCAATGACTGGGAATGGGAAGACCTTGCCGTGATCCAATCGTACGGCTGCTGATCCAGGAAGCCCCACTACATGTCACTACATGTCACTACATGTGCACTGAAATGCAGTCGTGGATCTGGATCGGACGATCCGAGTGCGACGTTCCAGCTCACGGAACCCAGTGAGCCGAAATCACTTAGCCGAGTCGTTGCCCTACCACGAGAGGGACGCTACGCAGCTTTCTGCGCCTTTCGCATTCTTTTTCCCTCCATGCCTTACTTCGCTGGATTCCGAGATGTGCGCAGCGACGGCCGACCTGGAGACAGCGTTGACGGGTTTGTTTTCAGAGGCTGGGATCAGTGGTGCCAATTGTGGAAGGTGTCAAAGGTTGGGGCTAATCGTGGTAGTCTGGATGCCCATTGGCAGTGAGGAAGTCCTCGGTTACGGTTGCTCCTCTCGGTTACGGTTGCTCTTCCCAACCGTCAGATCGCATCCCAATCACTGCATGAGCATAGTGTGAGTGCTCACTTCACAGTGATTGTCAGGTGGGCAGCGTGCTTCACATTCCCGATGCCAGGCAGTGCAGGGCTTGAAAAGGCAGATGCAGTCAGGACTGGCTCTCTAATCTTTGTGACATCTTGTTCCGAGCTCCAAATAAAGCCCTTCAAGTGCTGCAAAGTCGCCCAGTCGCCCACCCCTAAAAAGTGGGCTTCACATGGCTTCACTTCCCCCAAGTGCACTTTAAGCGCGCCTGGAAGTCGGCGAGACGAGCCCCTGCTGGCCCTTATACGGCGCTCCTCCAGCTCGCAGGGAGCAGGGGAGCCCAGAAGAAGGCGGCGTTAACGCGTGGGATAAGGTTTCAGGGTTTCGGTCTTTCAGCAGCACACGATGCTGCGGGGTGGTGTTGGTAGGGTTGGCTTGGGGGTTCGCGTGGGTTGATGGTCTGAGTAGAGGGGTTGTGTTTTTTGAAGTTCGTAGGTTTTAGATGTCCGAGGAGGTGTGCATTTGGAGAGCAATCTGGAACAAGGCCATGAAGTACCTTGATTTCTCCACTAAGTTCCAAACAGACAGATGGAACCGTCCAGGGCAAAAACATGGGCTGGTGACGACGAGGCGTTGGTGCGACTGCAGCACTTCACTTCTTCAGTAGTGCTTACGGCCTACTCGACAACGAAGACAGAGACTGGTGGCGCTGGAATTCAGTATGCCCAGGTCCATGAGTTAGTTGACCCACTGGCGTGGTGTAGCTCACGGTCAGGAACAGCATCATGAAGATTCAACATTGCCACAGGCAATGGTCCTGTTTTGACACCGACACAGTTGCTGGATGGATGTTCAGCTCTGAGATCGAGCAGCGCTTCCTCTCGAACGTTGAAGCGCTACGATTCAACGTTCCTGACTTCAAGAATGATGGGAGAGTCACGAGTTGTGCAATGCACGTCGCAAGACGGGAGAAGTACCTGGGCGACAGTGTAGGAAGATGTGCTCCGGAGGGTTGAGGACGTAGACCCTAGAACAACTAAGCCCGGGACTTCGAACCTTGAATCCGAAGTTCTAGGGGCAGCAAAGGAGCCTGCCGCTTTCTCTAACCTTTCTTCGCCCGGGAGTTTTCGCTTCTATTTCTTTCAACTGCCGAGTGTACTGCAGTGGCCTACAGTAGGCAGTCTACCATCTGGCTTAAACCCTAAGCATCCCCAAACTCGAGACTCCGGTGTGTGGCTTTTGTGCTCCAAGATCTCCCTCAGCGCCACGGACTTCAGCGGCCTCTTCAGGGCAGAGCTCGGGTTCGAGGCAAGGCCGGAAGGACACATAAGCAGGAGCTTTGTATACATATATATCTATGTATACAAATACATACGTTTACCCCTACATATATATATATATATGAGAGAGGCACCTTTCGGGTCTATTTAGCTTTATATTTCTTTTAGTAATCATACAACTAATTAAATAATTTAATTTTAAGCATTAATTAAATTCGAAGGTCATTAATTCATTAAATCATGTAAACAAATAAATGGAACCGCGTGATTTAAATAATTTAATGGCCGGGCCATTTTAATTTATTTAAATCCGACGGGGCCATTAAATAATTTAATGGCCCAGCCGGATTTAAGTATTTTAATGGCCGCGCCATTAATTTGTTTAAATTATTTAGATTATCTAAATTATTTAAATTAATTTAAATCCGCGGAAAACTTGTTCTCCAGTGTATTCCACTTTCCAGATTTCTCACTATGTAAATTGATTTAAATAATTTGAATAATTGAAATTATGTAAATACTTTAAATAATTTAATGGCTGGGCCATTAATTTATTTAAATCCGACGGGACCATTAAATAAATTAGTGGCCCAGCCGGATTAATTTATCTAATGGCCGCTACATTAAATTGTTTAAATCATTTAAACTATTTAAATTAATTTAAATCAGCGGAAAACCTGTTTTCCAGAGGATTCCATTTTCCAGATTTCCCTCTATTTCAATTATTTTAAATAATTTAGATAATTTAAATAATTTAAATAATTGAAACAAAATTTTTTTAAATCCGACGGGACCAATAAATAATTTAATGGCCCAGCCGGATTTAAATAATTTAATGGCCGGGCCATTAATTTATTTAAATCCGACGGGGCCATTAAATAATTTAATGGCCCAGCCGGATTTAAATAATTTAATGGTCGCGCCGTTAAATTATTTAAACTATTTAAATTATTTAAATTATTTAAATTAATTTAAATCGCCGGAAAACCTGTTCTCCAGAGGATCCCATTTTCCAGATTTCCCTCTATTTCAATTAATGTAAATAGTTTAAATAATTTAGATAATTTAATGGCCGGGCCATTAATTTATTTAAATCCGACGGGACCATTAAATAAATTAGTGGCCCAGCCGGATTTAAATAATTTAATGGCCGGGCAATTAATTTATTTAAATCCGACGGGGCCATTAAATAATTTAATGGCCCAGCCGGATTTAAATAATTTAATGGCCGCGCCATTAAATTATTTAAACTATTTAAATTATTTAAATTATTTAAATTATTTAAATTAATTTAAATCGCCGGAAAACCTGTTCTCCAGAGGATCCCATTTTCCAGATTTCCCTCTATTTCAATTAATGTAAATAGTTTAAATAATTTAGATAATTTAATGGCCGGGCCATTAATTTATTTAAATCCGACGGGACCATTAAATAAATTAGTGGCCCAGCCGGATTTAAATAATTTAATGGCCGGGCAATTAATTTATTTAAATCCGACGGGGCCATTAAATAATTTAATGGCCCAGCCGGATTTAAATAATTTAATGGCCGCGCCATTAAATTATTTAAACTATTTAAATTATTTAAATTATTTAAATTATTTAAATTAATTTAAATCGCCGGAAAACCTGTTCTCCAGAGGATCCCATTTTCCAGATTTCCCTCTATTTCAATTAATTTAAAAAATTTAAATAATTTAAATAATTTAATGGCCGGGCCATAAATTTATTTAAATCCGACGGGACCATTGAATAATTTAATGGCCCAGCCGGATTTAAATAATTTAATGGCCGCGCCATTAAATTACTTAAACTATTTAAATTATTTAAATTATGTAAATTATTTAAATTATTTAAATTTATTTAAATCGCCGGAAAACCTGTTCTCCAGAGGATCCCATTTTCCAGATTTCCCTCTATTTCAATTATTTTAAATAATTTAGATAATTTAAATAATTTAAATAATTGAAACAAAATTTTTTTAAATCCGACGGGACCAATAAATAATTTAATGGCCCAGCCGGATTTAAATAATTTAATGGCCGGGCCATTAATTTATTTAAATCCGACGGGGCCATTAAATAATTTAATGGCCCAGCCGGATTTAATTCATTTACTGGCCGCGCCATTAAATTGTTTAAATTATTTAAATTATTTCATTTATTTAATTTATGTAAATTATTTTAATTATTTACATTAATGTAAATCGCCGGAAAACCTGTTCTCCAGAGAATCCCATTCTCCAGATTTCCCTCTATTTCAATTAATTTAATAATCTAAATAATTTCATGGCAGGGCCATTAATTTATTTAAATCCGACGGGACCATTAAATAAATTAATGGCCCAGCCGTATTTAAATAATTTAATGGCCGCGCCAGTAATTTATTTGCATTATTTAAATTATTTAGATTATTCAAATTATTTAAATTATTTAAATTATTTAGATAAATTCAAATCTGCCGCAAAACGTGTTTTCCAGAGGATCTCATTTTCGAGATTTCCCCCTTCAATTACCATTAAGGAGTTGAATATTTCAAATATTTTAAATCATGTCAAGAATTTCAATAAGTAAATTGAATTAACGGCCGAGCCCATTTATTTTTTTTTAAATCGGACGGCCGTTGTGAATAATTGGCCGTCCATTACATTATTATCTTTTTTAGCTATTTAATTTATTTACATTAATTTAAGTATGGAAGAAAACCTATTCTTGTTAAAGAACGGGCTTTCCTAAAGGGTTTCCTAAACCACCACTGCGGCTCACTTTTCGCTTCACCGCTCTGCTGTGGTCTCTGTCCTGTCTCTCCTTCTGAGACTGGGGAGTCTCCTTTGAGCCTGGGCCACAAAGTCGGTTCCTGGCTCAATCTGTTCATTCTCCTACACATACAACAGTGTGTTCCTACTAGGCTGGAATGTTTAACACCCCGCCTTCGAAGTTAGTGAAAGTCGTAGTCTGACGACTAAGCTGGCTTCGACTTTCTTTCCTGAACACACACACACACACAAGTGCTTGAAACTCTTTCCTCAACGCAGGCTCTTTCAAGTCCACTGGCGAATCTCTCCAAGTTCGCTCACATTTCCTTCAAACGAAATGTCTACTATCCTGTACAAAACAAAACTCTGCTGTTCCTACTTACTTGGATCATCATCCTGAAACAAACTGCAAAAGAAAACTTTCCTAGAGCTAGTCAAGCTCTCAGTCCGTCCTAGCTCACTGTGCCAAGCTCACTGCTCTTTCACGAAAAGCTTGTGATCTCGTAGTAGCCGTCGTCGACGTCCTTGCTGCTGCTGCTTCCTTTTCCTTCTTCTCCTTTCTCTTGGCCTTTGTCTTTTCCTTTTCCTTTTCCGTTCTCCTCCATGAACTTCTCGAACTTCTTGAGCTGCTCGTCGCAAACTTTCCTGCCGTTCTTGTCCTTGTGCTGCTTCACCCATTTTCCTTCACCGGGACTTTTTCCTTCTGAATCGAAGAAGTACCAGAACTGGCTGTCGTTGTTCCACTTCCACTGGTAGAACTTTTCCTGGTACTGGAAGACGGCGTAGCTGTTCCTTGTATTGTCTTTTCCTGAGCCTTTCACGTAGCTCCTTGGCGAGTACGGTCCTTTTTCCTTCACCTCTGGGTCTTCCTTCTCCTTCTTTTCCTTTGGCTCCTTCTTCTCTGGCTCCTCCTTTTCCTTTGCTGGGCTGCGGCTTTCCTCTTCTGTTGTTGATCCTGCATCGCTTCCTCTTTGGCTGAGTGCCTTCTCGAGCCTTTCAATCCTGTCCTTGTCCTTTTATCTTTCCTGCGTAAGCAAGAGGACTCCTTCTCTGCTGCTGCTGCTTGGGCTGCTGCATTCTTCCTGTGCCTTTCCTCTTCTTCCTTCGCCTTGACTGCTGCTGCCTTTGCCTCCTTGGATTCCTTTGCTGCCTGTTCTTCCTTTGCTTGCTTGGCTCTCGCGCTTCCTTGTCTGCCTGTGCTCTTGCTGCTGCTGCCTTCGCTTCTTCCTCCTTGGCTTGCCTTTCCTGCTCAAGTCTCCTATCGTTCTCCTCTGCTGCTGCTTCTAAGGTCTTCCTCAACTTTGCCTTCACCTCCTCTTCTTGTTCCTTTGACAGCGGCTGCTGTCCTCCTGATCCCTTCTTCCTCTCCTGCGTGGCCTTTCTTCTTCTTGTTCTTTCCTCTTGTTCTTTCCTTTTCCTTTCTCGTGTTTGTAGGCGTAGTCGTAGTCGCACCAAATCTTTTCCTGCGTCACGTAGTGCTGGCGGTGAATCGAGCCATTCTCGGTGTAGAACTTCCACTCGGACGAAAAATCGCGTGGGTACTCGAAGTCGCTTTCCTTGTCTTCTGACTCTTCTGCTTTCCTTTGGATCTCCTCGTTGATTCGGCGGATTTTGTCGGTGATGCTCTCAGCTTCCTCTTCCTTGTCCTTTCCTCCTTTCGAACTTGTAGTTGAGGTAGTCCACGATGTAGCTTCATCCTTTCCTTCCTGCTTTTCCTTTGAACTGGTAGATGAGGTAGTCCACGATGTAGCTTCTCCTTCCTTTCCTTCTTTCGAACTTGTAGTCGGCGTAGTCCACGATGTAGTTTCCTGAAGATGTCCTTCACGACGAAGTTCTGCTTCCAATTCTCTGTCCTTTCTTTCGTCGTTCTCCTCATTGTCTTCTTCCTCTTCTTCTTCTTCCTGGGTGTACCACTTCACGAAGTCTTCAAGGCTTTCGATTCTTTCCTTTAAATCTTTGACGATCTCCTTCACCTCGTCTTTGGCTTCTGCTTCATTTTGCTTGATCTCCTTCACGATGTTCTTGATCTCTTCTGTTTCCTTCTTGTAGTCGGCCAAGATCTTTTGGGCTGCTTGACTTTCCTCTGCCAAACGACTCATGTTCATGCTGCTTTCCTGCAAAGAGATGGAGACACTTTCCATGGACTCGCTGCGTTCCTGGCGCGTCGTTTCCAGGATTTCGCGTAGTTCCTGTACCAACTGGTTGAAGCTGACTTCTTCTCCAGTGCCACTCATGGCTACAGGTTTCCTAGCTCTTCTACTGGGCTCTCTACAG